ACTTTTGTGTGAGAAAATGTTTTCCCAATTAGTGATCTTTCTGTTTGTTTTTAGTAATGTCTCTTTTGCTGTACAGAAGCTCTTTAACTTGATATAGTGGGAAAAGTAATCTAATATTTTAAACATAGATGTCATGAGCATTTGAAAGGAAAACACACTGTAAGAAAATTTAAAATGTGAAATGAGTTCAAGAAGCATCCTATAAGAGATTATAATTAGTGTGCTGATTACAGAAACACATAATACCTGAGAGACTAATCTTTGCACAGCTGAATTTGCCAAATGCTTGCTTGGTGGAAAGAAATCACCATGGTGACTACATTCCCACAATAAAAGTTTTAGCTGCCAGCATGAAGGCTGAGCTTCTGCAGAATTAAGATTACACCTTTCAGCCATATCCACAGGCAGGGCAGGTCTTGCTGTTTCTCTGATATTCATCCAGTACCAGCACTAACAGTTCAGGAAGGAACATGGTGTTGCTGTTAAGGAGGCTGCTTGGCAACTGACCTACGTCTGGCTGAAATATTCAGTGCTCAATAACTTTTCGGAATCTCATGGCCTAACCTCAAACAATTATCTCAGATCACACCTGCAGTGCAGAAGCAACAGGAAAATATTGGTGCTCTGAGCACAATTTAGTGCAGCTGTCAGGAATCAGTGTGCCTTCCACCACCACACACCTGCAGGGGGAAAATACCTGCTTGTTTTATTGAAAGTGTCCTTGATGAATCAGTGACAGGGACTCATTTTATTATAACCCAATCCTTAATCACACACCATCTCCATAGGCCAAATGACAGGACTGGGGTTACAGAAAGCAGTGACCTGCATGCTGAAGAATGATGATAGTTGGCAGGAAAAGTTCTTGTGCAATTGTTTGAGCTGAGCGGAAGTAAATGCACTGTTCATGAAACTCCATTTTGGTTTCACAGACCAACAGGTAGACATGGAAGTTGACAGATGTTTTCTCAAAACTAAATGAAGGACTTAATGTTTGCTGTTTTTTAAAACTAAGTGAAATAAACCACTTGCAGGAATACAACTACGGTCTTCATGGCCTTTGATAACATTCGAGTCAAGCACAAAGCAGAATCCTGGAATTCTTGCCACTGAAGCCCTCCCTACTATTCTCCATCACTCCACGGACAGTGTTGCAAAGAGCGCCCACATAAGACTTGCCAGTGCTGTTTCCATCCAAATCAGTTCAAGGTGGGGACCTCCCTCTTTTCCCTTTCTATTTGTCACATTGTCACACCACCTAATACTTCTTTCTTGTGGACTATTTTTGTGATCTCTTCTCATTTTCAGGTTTCCTTTCAAATATTGATATCTTTGTACAGTGGTTTATAAGAAAGAAGTCTTGATAAGAGCTTCCTTTATTCTTGTCCCTAAACCTTGGCCAGCTCCCATAGACGTTCCCTTCAGGGGTTGACAATATAAGTTCTTCTCTAAAAAACATTTTTTCTTGTGTTTATTGCTGTTCTTTCCTCTTTTCTTTTCCAAGCACATACCAGCACTCTATGCCATGGTCCCTCTGCAGTGAGGTGTGGCGGTGAAACTCAGATCTTGACAAGGGAATATGAGCAGGAGTGGTATGAGGTGGTTTTGAGTGAAGCTTTCTTTGGACACCATGGGAGATGACAAAGTCAACAGATGGGAGGTATAACTTCCATGTCACCCCTGAAGAAAGATGTCCCCTGAGTAGGCAGAAACATCAGGTGTACTTACCTGGTCTCTCTAGTGAGGAAGAATATCTTAGATGTTGCAACCTCCTTTGTCCTACTATGCCTTTTCATAGCTTCCAAATCTTCATATCTAAGAAATATTTTGATAATATACATTTTAGAGATTATTTCAGCAATGAGTTAGCCTATTATAAGTGTATAAGCTTTAATATTTTGGACATTCCTTTGTAACTACAACTATTCTATTGAAGTCTGACTTTTTACTATTTTGCTCATGTTGGCTTTTAAGAAAGAAACTTCAACACAACTTACCTCTCTATGGAGTTTTCTGTCACTGCTCTTCTGGCTACTACTGTATGGACTTTGACTTCCATCTTCCTTGTTTAAAATACACAAGTTAGCTGTTTTATTACAATCTTGAGTTGATTAGATGCACAGATGGATGCCACCATGAGATACTGAAGGGGATGGGAAGAATCTTCCTCAGAAACTGAGATTTGGATACCCTCTTGCTGGATTAAAAACCTATGAACTATGAACTACTGATCTGTCTTCTTTAACTTTCTGTTATTGATAATCTGGGAAAATCATATGATATGGGTTAAAGGGTGAGTGATATCATCTGAGTTGGGCAGGTTAACAAAGAAAAATGGCTTTGTAATAGGGCAACACCTGGAGGAAATGTGGTGACCTGGGTTTGGAAACTTCATGTGCTTGCTTAAGCAACAAGACCCTCAAAAAAGACAAGCACAGAGGAATTTTAAAAAGCCTACCTATAAGGGGAATGAGAAAAGGTGTACATGAGAGAGAGAGAATAACTTGCCAATGCATCCCAACAGCAGCACCATCTAAGCTGAGACACAGGCTACAAGAGAAACCAGAAAGCAAGAGTGAGAACATGCATGTGTTCAGTCATAAATCAAGCTTGACTCCTTAACTCTGCCCCCCATTACCAGGGAGACGTGCTTAGGTAGTCAGACTCATGGCACATTGGAAGCAATAGTCCTTGACTCCTGAGATCTGTCAGCATGGAGGTGGTGTGGAGTCCATAAAGATCTAGGAGGTAGAGTTCATTCCAGAAGTCATTCAATGGTTCCAAGGTTACTCACTATGTTCCTTTAACAGCTGAGCTTTTGTAGAAATTTAACAGTTTTGCAATCTTATGGTACATAAGATTTTGTAAAAAGGACTGATTTGTAGATCACATGGGAAAGTGTCCTAGATAATGAGATAGTATTGTCTAATGTCTTAACAGATAAGATTTTTCCAGGCATTGACAGTACGCTGAGTTGTAGTGAACTTGTTGAAATAGAAACAGGTGGATTTCTATGAAAGGGAGTGCTATGAATAGAAGTACAGAAGGAGTGGTGGATGTGCTCAGCATTTGGCAAGCTCAGTGCCCTGCCCTAAGGAGCTGAGCAAGCTATATAATTTGCAAGAATGTGATAGAAATGCCACTTTTGCCTTGTCTTATGTATGTGTGTATATGCTTATAACTTATGTGCATGCATGTTTGGCTAACTGGATGGGATGGAGGTGGTACTGGTGAGGGAGATAATAGTGCAGAAATGCAGAAGGGAATTGGGGAAATTTAAGTTCTCTGTACTCAGAAAACAGAAGTATAGCAGTAGACCAGACCCCTCCTCTGGCAAAAACAGTAATAAATCACAACCTTAGCACTTCTCACCTGTAGAAAATCTATTGGTTCTGGGGTGGGGGAGGTGTGAGTACTTATAATTTGGTGGGTATAATAGTCAAGGCTCTCTAGAGAAACATAGCAACAGAAGAAATAGGTCATAATAGAGGCTAGATGGATGGACAGCCAGGCACATAGACAGACACAGGAGGGAGATTTTGGGAACTTGTCATTCTAAAGTCTGTAGGGCAGGAGCTAGAAAACTGAAAATTCAGGCAACAGTTGATGTTCTACACTTGAATCCAATTCACAGCAACAGGCTAACAATTCAGGCAGCAGTTCCACAATCTGATGATGAAGATAATTCTTATTCTTTGGGAAACCTCAGTCTGTGTTCTCAAAGTCTTAAACTAATTGAATGAAGCCCACACACATTGTGGGAGCTAGTTGGCTTTAGTCAAAGTCCACTGATTTAAATGACATCTAGATAGCAACATCACAGCATCTAAATTGATGCATGATCAAACATGGAGATCACAGCATAAGTAATTTGATACATAAATCATCAAAGTGTGGGAATTTACACACCCATTTTGCTGCAACAGCAAATAGTTTGTTCTGGTCGCCAATTTAAATGTGTACGCCTGGGCTGGTTCCCTCACCCCCACCCCAGATCACCAAGAATTCTTCACAGACCAGCTGGTGTCTTACAGCTTAACACACTCTTATCCAGAGATAGCATCAGACTCCACAGGTTAAGGATTCAGTCCTACAAGATTGTTGCCTTTACCCCAAGTCATATGCCAGTAGCAAACCCAGACAGGTCCCTGTGCTTCTGATCCACTAGCTAGGAGTTGCGGCTCCAGCGAGCTCTCCGACTGGGGAGGCCAGTCCAAGTCCAGGTTGTTTACCTGAACCTCGGAGTAAGTGGCTCTAAATCAGAGTTTCTAAAACTCCCTTTTTCCTTGGATTTAATGAACTTGCTAGAATAGTTCATAGAATTGAGAGAAACATTTCACTTAATAGATGACTGGTTTATTACAGAAGGGTATGATTCAGGGAGAGATGGAAAAATCACACAGGGCAAGGTGTGGGGAAGGGGCATGAAGATTCCATGTCTCTCAGAGCACGCCTTTCTCCCTGAAGCTCTACGTGTTCACTGCCGAGCAAGGTCTTTGAACTTCCTTTCTGTTGCTTTTTTGTGTGACAGTTTTATAACATAGCCAGTTTTATATGATTGTTGGCTTTTGATTCAATCTCCATGCATGCCCCTCACCTCTGAGGCTTAAAAGAAGGAAAGAAAAGTTCCAGTTCGAATGGACACCAGTCCCCATCTGCTGATTGGGCCCAAAAGTCATTTCATTAACATAACAAAAGACGCCTTTATTTTATTTATCACTTAAAAGAATTCCAAGTGTTTTAAGAGCTGTGTCAGAAATAAAGGCCAAATATTTATTTCTTGTGATATGTCTAGTATTACAACAGAAACCCAAAATCTCTTCCAGAAGGAGAACTTCAGAACATAATCTCATATAGTTAGCATGTGGCTGAGGAGTGCAAACTATTAAGGGGTACATACCTCAAAAACAAGCCTGCCATCTGCTACACAGGGCAAAGGAAGCAAACTCCTAGCGTGCTAGATCTTTAGTAGAATTAATGTGCATAAAGAGAGAGAAGAAAAACAGGATACTCCTAATAAAACTTTCCTCCCCAAAACCCCAAATTTGCCTCACAAAAGCTCTACTACATGCATAATTTACAGCACTTGGATACACATTTTCTCACATTGCTTTTCCACTGTTAACATTCACAAAAATATTTTGATTTCCTCTACCTCACTCAAAAATTAATACTTGGATGTTTTTTTAAGTTAATAACCCAAAACTTTTTTTTCCTGCAGGATGTAAATGAACAGTTATTCATAAACAATAAATTCATTATTTTTAAATATAATTTCTCCAAAGTGGTTTGCCATTGGGTATGTAGGAATACGATGAATAATTGATAATACAGATAAGAAATGAAAAAAAAACTGAAGAGGAACATACTTTAGAGAAAGTGACCTAGAAGTTCAGTTTATCCCTCATCCCTAGTCTCATTACTTCCAGGGAACTTGTTCACATTTCTTCCTGGCTACAACATCTCTGCATTACAGTTATTTGCCTCATTTGGAAATCCAATTAAGACTGTTTTCTGGAAGGAGACTGTAGCTGCAATCTTCTTTGCCTGAGAACACGGAGTTCGCATGATCACTTTAAAACAAATTGCCTTTTTTATTGCTCGCCGGCCAGTGCCTGCCTCAGAGAAGTGCCAGCTGTGCATGTTTGGCTGACTGCCCCTTGTTAAAAAGAGGATCCCACAGAGGGAGGCTAGTATCGGTAAATATTGTCTGCTAAGTCTCAGAACAAAGTGTTGCTTTCAAAATACAAAAATATCTTTAAATATTAGGACAACTCAGAAAGTAGAACTCAGAAAATAAACCTTCTTTTAAGATCTCTGTTCCGTTCTGAAATTTCTGATCAGGTTTCGAGCACTTTAAAAAGAAAATGGTTGATTCTTCTCTGCTTCCTACATCACTTGCTTCCTTATTTCCTTCATACTCCTTTTGTTCAAGACAAAACAAAACAAAACAAAACAAAATACAGGAAGGCTCCTTGACTCTCCTTGCTTTCCCTCCCGACACTCCACAAACATCTAGCTCATCTTAAGTCTCTCTGTCAACTTTACTCACAGGTATACTTCAAACCACTCTGCCTCCCCACCCACTGACATCACTCTACTCCATACCACTACTATCTCTCCATTAGTATGCTCACAGTTGTCTCTAAGGAATTCCCCCACCTCCACTGATGCCATACAATCCTATATCTGATATCGAATTTCAGGTAAATTAGAAATATTAAAAATCAGCTATCATCTTATAGTGAATTTCAAAAACACGAGACCACAAAAATTTATGATGCTATGAAACAAAACATTCTCTAGTAAGCAAGTGATAGAATCTGTCAGTTTCTGCATTAGTAAAATAAGCAAGTGATACTAGGACCTCTGAAGACATTTTCAGCCACAAACTCTAAGATTATTTTTATTGCTGGTAAAATGTCCTTCCCAACCTCAGGTGAGGGGTCAGTGTTGAGTAAGGAAAGTTTTCCAGGTAAGGTGACATGTCTACCTTGACATTTACCTTTCAAATCAAGACACCAACAAGGAGGCTTTTTCAACTATCCCTGGAAGAGTGCATAGAAATACACAGACAGACTTCCATCTTTGGGTGTCCTTCTGACTTAGCACACACCTCTGCATGCTGTGTCTTTTCTCTGCTCACAGACAGCTGGCAGATCACCTGGTGCAGCCCGTTCCTGAAGTCCGTGATCGCTTGAAAATATTCACGAGCCTCAAGCAGAAGCTCCAATGTCTACGATGATTTTCTATAGATTACTGACCACTTTCCATGCCTACAATCCTCTATGAGTTTCTCAAACTTTTTATTTGCACAGACTAGGAGGATACCAGGAGCAATAAATCAAAGTAAGGGTCATTCAGACAACAGTCCTCCATAGTTCGATTAGCTAGTGAATTAGTCTAGTAGGGGTGTCATAAAAAGAGATGTACTGGCTGGTTTAAACTACATGGACTTATTTGTGCCATTGTGCTAGAGATGAGAAGTTCAAGCTCAGGGTGCCAGGAAGATGGTTTCTGGTGAGGACGCTCTTCTGACTTGCCGATGGTTCTCCGTGCTCTGTGCTCACCTGATCTCTTCCCTGTACATGCGCAGAAAGAGAAGGCATCTCTTCCTCTTCTTATAAAGAAACCTGTGTTATGGAATTAAGGTCCCACCATTTTACCTTCATTTAAGCTGCTACCTCCTTAAAGGACTTCAAAATACGAACTGGAATTAGAAGGGGGTTGGGGGGAGACACAACTCAGTGCATCAATGTCAGCAAAAATAATGTAGCAACAGCAGCAATAAACACCTAAATAAGCCTGTAAAAGTATACCAAATGGGTTTCAAGGGTTTTTTTTGGGGGGGGGCATGGAATGGTCATAACATACAAAGATAGAAGAAATTAAGATCGATGAAGTTTTAGCACTTTTATATGAGGGTAGACTTGTATCATAAGAGCATATAAAATCAGAGACATGTTTCAAACTTGTATGTAAGTAAGATATGTATTTTAAAACTTCCATCAACTCAATAATCCAAATTCTGGCTGCAATGATTAACTTTAACGGATTTCAAATCTCCTTTATGGTTATAACAGAGAAAACCTGTACTGTACAGTATGAAATCTGAAAAGTGACAGAAAACAGCAATCCACACATTGCAAAAAGTGAACATTTTGCTGCTGTGTGACTGACTGAGCCTCTCCCCTCAACACTGCACTTATCCTACTTTGTACATTAATTCATGGAAAAGATCAGAAAGTATTCAATATTTAGAAGTTCACAGAAAGAAAGTTAAAACGCCTCTGGTCACTCTCAGAAACACAAACAGCCCTACACTGAATGCATTTGTAACTTAATGCCACATGAGCCCTGGGTTTGGTTGCTAGTCCACAGGCTGGCTGTCTGCTCTGACTCCTCACTCCTGGGATAAGTAAGATTACTAGGACCTATGATGCCCGAGTTTCAGTAGTATTTGGTACCACGTCTGAGATAAGGTATATTAATCCTATAAAATAGCATCTTCTAAAAAGTCACAAGCTTAAAGAGGAACAGGGTATTTGGGGCTTCAAGGATCTTCCTGTGGGAGAAGCTTCCATTTCACTGAGGGGTGAAGTTCTTCATCAACACCATCCAGCTCTTGCTCCTTGGAGAGCTCCAAGAACACCTGGTCAGGGTGGGGGTGAGAACCAAAGACAGCGATGTTAACCCGCCTCCTGCAGTGTCACACACGTGCGAAGCAGAGGCACCCACTGTTCAGGAAATGCATGGACTCCCTGCAGGAGGGAACACCCCGCACCGACCCACCTGCTCCAGTGTGGACTGCGAGAGGCTGTACTCCTCCAGGTCGAAGCTCTGCTTCACTGCATGAGGTGGACACATGTTAGGGGCATGCACACTTTTTATTCAGAGTTTCACCAGCCATGTACCCAAAAGATATACAAACAGATTTTAGATATAAAAGATGGGGTCATAAATATCCCTGGACTAAGCATCAGGATACAAATTCACCAGAGTCCTGTAACAGCAGGGTGAAAAACCCTCACTGGGGCCCTCCCTGGTGGGGCAACAGGTTAAAGCACAGCACTAAGAAGCTAAAGCCACTTCAGCATGAATTCGATCCCCGCCTGCTCTGGAGGAGATCCACATGGCGCGGCAGACCTCTCCTGACCCGCCTGCTGCTACCCTCAGCAGTGTACTTCGTCAGTCAGCCTGTTCTGCTCCCCACTCTGTCTCTGCCCCTGCACCTCTGGCCTGTATCCCAGCTCTGTATATAAATAAATCAATCTTAAAAAGAAAAAATCCCACTGTCCAAGAGTTTGGGCAGAGACACCACAAGGACACTAGTTGTGTCCCCAAATTCAAGGCCACTGCTCTGTCAAGCTGGCACATTCTGTATAACCCAAGATCCCATCACTCTTCCCTCTCCTAGTTGCTTTGGAACTAAGGATGTTAACACTTTGTCCTTTCTAGCCGCAGGCCATTTGCACATCATCCTATTATGAACCAAACTTCTTCAGTATCCTCTTTCGAGTTTACCAGCTCTTGTACTTGTGGACTGTGATCCCAAATTTGCAAGTACATAAAGGAAGACAATATTGAATAGAAAGATGGGCCTGGAAAGCAAAGGTCTGTGTGGACAGTCACCGGCTTGCTGCGACACCCCCTTACCTGCCTCCATGAACAGATAAGGTGAACATGGCCTCCAATTCAGGACCATGGGGACTGGTCCTTGATTCATGTTGGGAACATGTATAAAAAGGCTGTGGTGGCAGATGGCCCCGCGCTTTTGGGAGACGCGGGGGTGCTCTGCGTTTCCCACGGCCTTCCAAGGAGAAAGAGCCCCAAAAGGTGGAGGGATTCCAAGGCAGGAGGCCAGGGTTGCAGGAGACTGACAAGGGACCAGAGAGGCCTCCTCACCCAGCCCGTGAGGCTGTTGGCAGTAGTCCCCGATCTGAGAGAAACGAGGGTCTTCAAGGAACCCACAAAAGCGCCCCATGAAAGGAAGGGTCAGAAATGGTTCACTCCCACACAGCTGGCTGTAGTACAGTTTTAATAATCAAGTCAAGCTTCTTTCCCCTTAGGCTCCTTGTACGCCATCCCATAGAAACCCAAATATCAGTTTATGAGAGAACAAAGGAAGAAAGGAGATAAAATCAACCACCCCACTTTCAAGCTTCGGGTCTCCAACATAAGTTCAGCCTGACCTGGAGGAACACGAGAGGCTAAAGTTTTGTTGCAGGCTGCATGCGTCACAGTGGCCTAGTGGAAAGGCAGAACAGTTGACGGGGCCAGGCAAAGGGAGGGGTCGTGCATTCTGCCCGCCGACTGCTGGGTTTCGCTTAGTCAGTAAATGCATTGCAGCTGAGAATGTCACTGTGTCTAAGCTAATATTTGAAGAAGAAAATGCTAACTTGCATCTCAATATTTTATACCCTGTATAATCTTCACAGAGGGGAGCATGAAACGCCCTAATTTTTCTCCCTCAGTGAGAACTTCTGAGGTAGCAAATTTAGCACAGAAGAATTTGGAGATGGGAGGAACATTTTGAACGTGGAAACATAAGCTGTCTCCTAAGCATTCTCGGAAGGTGGCCTGGAATGTCTCCCTCCCTGTGCTGTGTGAGTTATAAACCTCTTCCTGCTGATCAGAGCTTGTAGGAATCCTTGCCACTGGGAAGATGCAAATGTGGTCACTGGGTCCATATGGTCGGCTTGGAAAAATTACCAGCAGGTTGAGAAAGTGAAAAGAAAACCTCTTTAGGGGACTTAGCCTTGTCTTAAGGGAAAGCATCTATTTAAGAACTCACATGCCCAGGGTCCAACAAGAAAGGAACAGACCATTAAAAGAGGGAGGTCTTCGTCAGGTGTCATACACTGATGTCACAGGCAAAAACTGAGCCTAGCGTAGATTGATTGACATTCAGACAAGGATGATGGCTTATGCTTTCTCAACAAAGAAGCCCTCGTAGTGAGGATCTACTGCCAGCCAAGAGTACGCAGAGAGGTAACACTACTTGCTGTTTGCATGAGTTTGGCTCTGCTTCAATCGCCTCTGTTTCCCATAGCCTCACTCATCTAGGGCAGGATTTCTCAACCTTGGCGCACAGTCTGATCACCCGCTGTAGTGGGAAGGGCTGAGCTGAGCACTGTGATGTTTGGCAGCAAATCTGACCTTGACCTACTAGATACTAGCTGCCCCCCCACAACCCCATCCCCAGCTGTGACAACCAAAGAGAAGGTCAGATATTGCCACGCCACCCCTGGTTGAGAACCACTGAATAAAAAGTCTTAATTGGGCCCTCCCGGTGGTGCAGCAGGTTAAAGCACAGCACTGAGCAGTTAAAGCCACGAGTTTGATCCCCGCCAGCTTCAGAGGTAACCCACATGGCACTGCAGACCTCTCCTGACCCGCCCGCTGTTCCCCTCAGCAGTGTGCTTCATCAATCTACCTGTTCTGCTCCCGGCTCTATCTCTGGTGAATTCTCTCACCATCCCTGTACCTCTGCCCTATACCCAAGTTTTGTATGCATAAATAAATACATCTTTAAAAAAAAGTCTTAATCATTTACTTAGAATATAATACTAGACCTCTGTATTCATGTACTTAGGACAGTTTTGATTGTGTCTGTTTCCCAAGGGCTTATCTCTAAAAAGTCATACTTACCTATCTCTAATTTGAAGAAAGCTTGAGATAAGGGTTGCACATCCTCAACAGGCAACTTATAGACCATCAGGGAGGAGTATCTGCAAGGAACAGAGTAAGGAACCTGAGCTCCAAGTTTCAAGATCACAGCATGTCGTATATATCTCTCTTCTAATGATCCTGAGGTTACCCAACATGGTCAGCTGTGTGTGTCCAATTGCAGTTAAGACTGAACCATTGAGGGCTTCCCTGATGGCCTCCAGGTTAGTCTTAGCGTTACTGTGGCCTGAGTTTGATCACCAGCCAGGGAGGTGACCAACATGGCACAGCAGACCTTTTCTATCTGGGCCGCTGCTTCCCTCAGCAGTGTATTTCAGTAGATCTGTCTGTTGAGCTCCCCACTCTGTCTCTAGTGATTCCTCTCACACCCCTGTCTCCAGCTTACTCCCAGTTCTTCTACAAAAATAAATAAATAAAATCTTAAAGAAAAAAAAAAAAGAGAGAATGACTGAGACATAGGTGCTTCAAGCAGGGAAAATTATTTCAGTTGGTATACTTTTTTTTTAAAAAAGATTTATTTATTTATGCATACAAAACTGGGTTTCAAACCAGAGGTGCAGGGGTGGTAAGAGGCTTCACCAGAGACAGAATGGGGAGCAGAACAGGTACACTGCTGAGGGGAGCAGCAGGCAGGTAAGGAGAGGTCTGCCACACCATGTGGGTCACCTCCAGGGGGGGATTGAACTCATGCTGAAGTGGCTTTAGCGTCTTAGTGCTGTGCTTTAACCTGCTGCGCCACCAGGGAGGGCCACAGTTGGTACACTTTTAATGAACTGTGTGCTATTTGAATTATTTTACAGTCACATTATTTTTTTAAATAGAAAGAGAAAAGTTGGGAGACGGATGATCTGACCATGACATTCTGCCTAGTTATCTGTCTCCCTGAAGCCAGGACACTCTTCTCTGCTAGACCAGGAGATGGGAGTAGCCTGGTCACCTCAGGCAGGGGCTTAGAAGATCTGTTCTCTACAACTATGTAGATAAACTCTAAATAATCTCTTTTCCTTAAGTTGTAAGAGTCTTCTGCTTTTCCCTTCTTCAGTGTATTGCTCCTTTTGTAGGCACCAGATAAAGTCACTAGATGACCAGAGGGTAGTGGCATATTCTATGGACCTTTGTGCATGTGATTAAATTTGTCTTTTCTCCTGCTAATCTCTCTTGTGCCAGTGAATTGTTTGCCAGTTTACACACTTTGAAGGGTAGAGGAAGATTAGCTTCCACCGACAGTGCCTTTTCTAGTAACTAAGTACTCACATCTATCATAGAGCTGAAAAGATAGGAAGATAAGCTTTTGTTTCTCATTGTCTCTGTGGAAACGCATAACAAAGACCAAGACAAAAAACAACCAACACTTCAGTTTACCTTTCTTGCCTAGCAGCCTGGGGGAAAAGCCTCAGAATTTCATTGTGGAGGGGCTCCACTTGCTCCGGGGTCTTCACCTTCATCTCCAGCAGGTAATCCTTGCCGAATTTGCTTTTCAGGTGTTGGATGGAGCCAATACATCTGGAGGCAGGACCAGGTTAAGCAAGAACAAGGAGAGAGAAGCCTGTCATTTCAGCTGGAACAGCCAGACACACTAACTCTCACAGGGACATTTCTGTGCAAGGAAAGGACAAGTTCAGCTGGGGTCAGCTGTGTGGGGAAGGGCACCCACCTCAGCCTTCCAGACACCATGATGGCCACACGGTCACACACAGCCTCAGCCTCCGCCATGTACTGGGTGGTGAGGAGGGCGCCCCTCTCTGTGTTACCAAAGGTGGCCCGGATGGCCTGCCTAGTCAGGGTGAGGAAATGTTAATGAGTGGGATGTTCAAGGCGCACACACACACATATACACACACACATTTATAAACATGTATATACACATGTACACATATACACAAATGTATTACATACACATACATATGTAAAATATATATAGTCTCCATCGGCCAGTGCCTATCAGCAAAGACAGGAATTCTGGAGGGACAGAGGGCACGAAAATAATCAAACTCTTGCATGGAGAGTACAATTCACAACATTCTTGGACAGAATGTACAGACTGATACTGGGTAAGGTCTTTTGAAGAAGACCTGATTGCTGAAACATTGAAAACAGTTATCAGACATGGAGACAGTCCTTGGAGAAAGGACAGGAAATGAGTGGAACTTATTTAAAAGCATGATAATAATGACAGATGCCTTAAAGTGCAAAATGATAGATTTCAAAGTATTTCTAAAATAATGAAAGAATATATTGAGGGTTTGGAAATTTTTCCTCCATAAGAATTGTATGTCAGGTGATGCTGCAGGAAGATTTAAAGTTTAATAATAGATTTGATCAAATAGAAAAAAGGGGGCCTTCAATACTCAGAAGATCCAAAATAAACATAAAATTCTTAGATTATTGTCATTAGATCTTTTTGTCCTTAATAAAAATTAGCGGTGATGACGGAATCAGATTCTCCTCCCCCCACCCCACTAATATTGCTTTTCCTTACCATGTGGATATCTTTCATTTTACAAATACCTATATTTCTGATGGTCAGCTGTTACAGAGTTCTAAGTTCATGACCCCTCACCACATTTGCTGCTGCCCCTCGGGATCCATCCCTGTCGATGGCTCATCCAGAAGCACCACCGTCGGGTTTCCCAGGATGCTCAGCGCAAAGCACAACTGGAATGAGAGGAACAGAGTCTGGAACAGCCTGGATTTGTGGGTGCACAGAGGAACCCGGGGCTCCCACACTACCTTTCTCTTTATCCCCTCAGACAAGGTCTTCACAGGAAGCTTCAGCTGCTCCTGCAGCTTGAGAGCCTCCACCAACCTAGAGGAAACTGTGAGTCAATTCACATTCCCACACATCGGAGACTGCGTGTGGAAGGATGGGCCAACCTGAGCAAGCACTACAGTAAAGACCTTTTAAAAAGTGTGTTCAGAGATTAAAACTATCTAGGATACTTTATGAATCATTCACTCACCCATTTTCAATGACGTCTTTCCATATTAAGAGTACGCAATAAATTTTTCTCTCTGCAGGCTTAAAGTGAAAGATGGCCAAGTCTCCCCAAGATGAAGGTATCAGAGTCTCCCTTCCTTCATTTTATGGGCACATCATTACTGTCACTCCCTCCCTCCCCACATAGAGAAGACATGGGCCTGTGGATACCTCGCAATGGCCACAGTGGCATCTGTCTTCCTCAGCCCTTTGACAGCAGCGAAAACCTCCAGGTGCTCCTTCACAGTCAGGTTGGGCCACAGCGCATTCTCCTGTGGGCAGTACCCCAGGAACTCCAGGGGCTCCCCTCCACTGCTCCCTTTCAAAATCACCTACATCAAAAGTTCATCCTCACATTCTGTCCAAAACTGTGTGGTGTGTGCTCACAATATGTGTAATTCAACAATTTCCTCTCTCACACTCACGGGTGACAAGAAAACAAAACTAAAAAGAAACAGCTGAGCTCTGGAGAGAAGATGACATAAACTCAATGCAAAGATATTGCACCACTATAGTATATTATAGTGTAGCTCTCCTTGTCAGTTCCTTCACTGGTTGAATCCAAGTTTGCTTATTTCGTTGCCCATTGTTTATCTTCCAACATTCAAAGGATGCAGTTGTTGACAAGTCTGTCTCTCTGATGTCAGAATAGTTACAATTATAGAATTTGTCTAATGACTTTGTTGTGAGGGTTAAGAAAGCTAGCAGTCATTAGGGGTGATTCTCCAGACAAAGTATCCGGGGGCATGTTAGCATGTTAGCTTGTCACAATAGGTGAGGCCGGGGATACACAGGACCATACCTCACAGTAAAGATAATTGTAAATCTTGAGAAACCCTAAAGCAAGGTAGTCAACAAAAAGCCCTGAACACTAGTCTGGTACACAGAAATTAGTAAACACATGATGACATTTATCATGTTTATGAAGCTAATAATGTGCTCATAACATGTTATATAATAGTAATAACAATAATAATGCAGTCATATATGCTAGTAACAGTAATAATAGGTAATCTGTACCAGTGTTTACTATGTGCCCAAATATAAATACTTATGTTTGAATTACTTTATTTTGGATGGGGTTGTTTACTTTATTTTTGTTGAGTTTTCATCAGTTCTCTGTAAATTTTTGTGATCAAACCTTTATCGCTAGTTTTGTGTGAATTACTTTGTTTTTAGAAAACTCCCATATGAGTTAAGCATGAGTTTTATCACCCCTGATTTATTATTCTAGAAAGCTGATATGTGTATAGATTTAAAAACTTGTAGGAAGTCATACAAACTAAGCCTGGGAGTGTAGAATGCAAGCCCTTGACCTTGATACCATATTCTTTCCTCTAGACAAAGGAGGAGAGAGCTAGTTAACCTCAGAGGGCTTTCCATTCAGAGAGAGAAATAGAAAATAAACAAGGAAACACATAATAAATGATATTCTCTGCTTAACGCAGGGACATAAATGCAGGACATAGACACACTAAAGAACAAAAGATCATTATATTTTTTGGAGGGTGGGTGAATTTAAGCAATTATTATTTTTTTCTCTCATCTGTGATCTCTATTTTCTTTATTCATCCTGGATCCACATCACTGTTGTGCTTCACGAACTTCGATGTGTTTACAGCAATACCCTATGTTGATGTTTTTCTATAGTCACCAGCCAGACTATCACACCAACTGGGCTTCAACCATTGTAAGAGATTTGCTCTTGCATGTGTGCTCAATAAAGACCTGTGCAGTTTTACTTGCTAGTGGGCTTTTATTGTCACACAAGTCACCTATAATATTTAGTTGTGGCATATTAAAGATGAAGATTTAGATATACAGATTGGACTTGTATAAATTTGTATAAAACGATAAACAGCTAGGACTACATCCAACCTTTCTTAATACAGAAAGACACATTTCTTGCTGGACATGTATTCTAACGGTGGTTTCTGACATGATGCTGGATAAAGCAATGCAAGTCATCAAGTTCTCTGAATACACTAATCACTACAGCAGAGGTCTCTGATTATGTGTCCTCTAAAATCATTAAAGGGGAATAGAGATCATTTGTAGCCCTTTAGCACTTATTTTTGGAATTAATGAGAAATTTTGGATTAATCTCCACTCAATACATAAATTGCATTGATTAATATAAAAGGATCATCAACTCTCATCAATTTCATCGTGAAACATTTCTTCTAGGCAACATGACTGACGGCATTTCTGTGGGTGTTACTGACCTGCCCTGCAGTTGGCTTAGTGGCACCAGTTATCATCTTAATAGTGGTGCTTTTACCAGCTCCATTGTGTCCTAACAGGCCTATAACTTCACCTGAAAGAAAACAGAATTACCGCTGCATGTCATTACAATAAGCATTAAATAAAGCAATAAATAAATAAGCATTAAATACACACACATGTGTGTACATATAATTATATATATTTACATCATTGTTCATTTTTTGTACAATGTTTGAGTTCTTCTCTTAGGTGTAGTCCCCCAGACAACTTCCACCACCATACACAAGTGAACCATCACCATACCCTCCTGGGCTCTTCTTGCACATTTTAATCTTTTTCTGTCCTACTCCCCTGCTAAATGTCTCTGATTTATAGTTGCCTGGTAGATTTTTTTCTCTCTTTCATTTTTCTTCTGACCCTTTCTTTAGTTCCCCTATAAGTGATACCACCATTGGAATCCTCTTATAAGAGATACCATCTGGCATTTTTCTCTTTCCTACTGAGTTGCTTCACTGAGCAACTCATGGGCTCCATCCATGTTGCTGCAAATCTTTTTTGATTGTTGAATTGTACAAAGAAACAAAGAATAGATAATGGAACAAGGATAATCTGTACAATAAATGGAGCTAGGAAAGCTGATCCACCATATGCAAAAAAATGAAACCAGACCACTAACTCATACCATACCCACCCACCCACACACACACAATCTAAACGGATAAAAGATGTGAACAAGTCCCTCCCTGTGGTGCAGCAGGTTAAAGCACAGCACTAAGAAGCTAAAGCCACTTCCACATGGGTTCGATCCCCACCTGCCCCAGAGGTGACCACATGGTGACACAGACCACTCCTGACCAGCCCGCTGCTCCCCTCAGAAGTGTACTTCGACGATCTGCATGTTCTACTCCCCACCCTGTCTCTGGTGAATCCGCTCACCGCCCCTGCACCTCTGGCCTGTACCCCAGTTCTGTATGCATAAATAAATAAATCTTAAAAAAAAAAAGACGTGAACATAAGCCCTGAAACCATAAAATATATAGAAGAAAATATAGGTAAAACACTCCATAACATACACCTCAGAAATATCTTTGAAGACTCATCCCCTGAAGAAAAGAAGGTGAAGGAAAAGATAAACAGCTATGACTACATCCAACCTTTCTTAATGCAGAAAGACACGTTTCTTGTAGCCACTCTTTTCTTTCTCTTGGCAAAGCAACTTTTCTTTTTGCCAGCATATTCCTTTCGCAGACAACTGGCGATGACGACTGGTTTCTATAAAGAAGAAATTACAGAGACCAGTTTTACCTTGAAATCAGTGTATACTTAACGCTCCCTACATCTTACCTGACACAAAATCATGACCCAAACCAATACTTCCCCAGGAGCTGTCCTTTTCCAGAAAAAGCCCCCCAATCTATATTTCTGCGAGAAAAAGACATTGTTTGTCCTTATCTTTCAGAATAGAGGCATCCACCAAGCCAAGTTCTGCTAAGACCCACACACTCACACACTCCTACACACCCACATGACTCAGAGGCACTCTCTCCTAGTTGCTTGCACTAAGCTTTACTCAGTTTATAAAACTCATAAAGTCTTTCCTGGGTTCTGTACTGGTTAACTTTATTCACCCAAAAATATGAACTTGGAAAGAGATTAACAAGTGTATGTCCTTTGTTCTGTTATTTCTGTTTGTACCACATATCCATTGAAGTTGAATAACATGCTGTTTCTGCCCAAATCACCCGATGACGCACATTTACAGAAGTTCTACCTCATCAAAGTTTGACACAGTCACAGCATTTGCTGTTCTCACTCTTTCCATCTGCACATCCTCATCCTCTCCTTCAGGTTCTTCTGAGTTTGGAAAAACATCATTGATTTTTGGTGAAATCCTGAAATTGAAATAGTGGGGCAATGCAAGGTTTTCAGTTGGAAAACTTGCAGTGAAAATAAATCATTTCCTATATCCTGGCCCCAATTGTTCAAACAGATTAACGGTGAGGCCAGGGGATCTCCATCGCTCTGCACCATCTATCTGCCTTTTTAGCAACGTAGTGTTTGTCACCAAGTTAAGTGACATAACCTGCATCATTCCTGCCTTTTGTCTAGGTTGAGTTATTTGACCAATCCTCGCTATTTTCAATAATAAAACAGTACATGTTCTCAAGACTTGGGGGAGAGTTGCAAGAGAAAGGAATCAGGAACTCTAGTAGTGATGCAAAGATTTGGGAATTCTGAGGACTATGTCAGAACCAGTGATTAACATATTTGGAAACAGAGTGTTATCCTACCAGGACAAAGAGTTCCCAGTAACTGAACATTGTCATTTCTTGGAAAGATGTGTCAGAACTGCTCTGTCCTGACTGGGACCCGCTTCACTCACTCCTTCACCTCCCCCACCCCTGATAACTGCTGGTCTCCTGCCTCTTCCCCTCATGCTCTTGTCAGCTCACTTCCTAAATCTTGGCTGTCATCTTGTCTCTTTCCTGCTCTGCCACCTACACTAGACTTGAGTTTGATTCCTATTTTATGAGAGATACAAGGTTTCCAAAGCACCCATGTCTTCCTATTGTGTAATTTGCAAAATATTTTCTCTACTTCCCTCTGCCCTGACGCTCTGACACCTAGTCTCGATTTAGCTTTTCAGTGTTCTTTAACACCAGCCTTCCAGTTCATTCCAGCTGCCTGCAGGAAGGTGGCACCATTTCAATTTTGTTCACTTGCCTAGCTTACCCACTCTTCTTGGATTGGTTGCATACATCCAATGCTTATATGTATTTACACATTATTTTAAAGAGCTTATTTTTTGTATTAACTTTCTTCCAGCGTGTCAGTGAAATTAAGCTCTGCCTTAAATTTTCAGTTTTTCCAATATATTAATATGGCATCCCTCACTAAGTTAGAGTTCACGGAAGCACTGTGAATTATGGCTTTGCAAACAACACAATCCCTTAAAAACACTCCTATACAGTATATCTTACTAGGTTAGTATAAGCATATTAAAATATCTTAAAATAATGAATCTTAAAATAAAGCATGAAATTCTATTTGAATTTCTCAACCTGAACACAGGATCTTTTCTCATTGATTTCTTCCTAATGTTCATTTCCAGACATCGTAGGATAAAAAGAAAAATGAAAAAATGAAGGTAAGGCTAGGGGGAAAATAAACAATAAAAATTAGTATCACATAAAGAAAAGCATTTCAATTGCAGAATTCATTTACAGAGTTAAATCGTTTCTAATGGTTGACTGGATAACATTTTCACAAGATTGAAAGACAACTTATTCAACATTGCATAGCATTCATGGTTACCTTCACTGCTCTGCAGAGAAAGCAGGTCAGAAGCAGAAGTAATAAGTTGATATTAGTATCCTTCATGGTATTTATTTTAGACTTCACACCCAGAACCAGTAGGTCATTATAAATATCATATACAGATCATGTGTGTGTGTGTGTGTGTGTGTGTGTGTTATTTCAAAGGCTTAAAGTGCCAACTATAATAACCGTAATAGAATGAAAAGCGTGCAAGAACATTTAAATGGAAATCTCCTTACTATTAGCAATGCCAAAAATACAATTTGCTCTTCTGCAGCTCCTAAGTAATCCACAGAATCTGGAGAAATCTGTAAAACAAGGAAAAACTTGGTTCAGATGAGCCTTCATCTCTTCATTGACTTCATCGCACATAAGGTAGATTATTGTCCACTTCATGACCCTGCTAGAATTACACAGGATTCACCCTTATGATCAGGTCCAAGTCCACTTCTGAGTGGGCAGGTGTCTGGTGTCTGCCTCCCTGCTTCCAAGGTCATCGTGACCTGCTGACCTGTGCTTGGCTCAAAGCTTAGGTGCTTTTAAAAGCAAGTTATCAGGATTCACCCAGTGGGGTGATACCTGGGTAGGGTTGACCAATGAAGCCAGGGCCAAGGTTTTCTCTGCCTCTGAGCTCCTTCTCTCTCTTCTTTCCTAAGCCCAAGAATCATTACATTTCTCTGTCCCATGTACTACCCACTTTGAGACTAATCATAACAATCCCTAATTTCACATGCTTCCATATAAGAATGTGGCTTCCATTAGATTTACAATATAATTTGAAAATCCCTCAATGCTTTAGTGAGTGAAAAGTGAAAGGCTATTTCTCCTTGGACAGCATTTACCAAGACTTTCTTTCTGAGCAACTATAAGTTGATGTAGCAAACCTCAAACCATCCTAGCCACCCGCCTTCTAATATGGACTTTTCCCCATTGGATGATTTTCCAGGACCCTGACATTAAAGCTCTTGCTTCCCTAAGTGTCAGTCACTTCTATCAACTGGACACTTCCATGACCAACCTCAGCACCCCTAACCTTTGCCCTGTCTGCAACAATACTTCCTAGCTTGGAACCCATGGCCCCTTTTACGAGGCCTCCTCACTCAGGACCTCTGTGTCCTTTCCCTCCTTTGACAGGCCCACCTTGCAAACAAAACACTGACCCTGTGTCAGTCTAAATCTCCATCCACCTGAAATGCATCTGAGAAGCAGTGGATGGAACTCAAATTTCCTGATTTCACCTGAAAAGTCAGGCAGGGATCCTTTAGCATTACCTGTCAATTCTACTCACCCACTCACTGAAATAAATGTTCACCTGTTTTCCTCTACCCTTGTGATCCCGATATCAATACCAATACCCTTGTGATCTCCATCTCACTGCTGGGTGAGCACTTCACCTTTTTTCCAAGGAGGTGGACTCAGAGGGAAGACTCACTTTCTAAACTCAGGCCAAACCCTAGGCTCTTATTTTATTCTGTATTTGTTCTGTAGATTATATTGCCTAGTCCTGTGGTTTTAAATATCCTTTAGATGCTGATACATCTCTAGTATCTGGTTTTAGTCTTGAACTTTACATCGACCCACACCTAGAATTTCAGACTCCCATGTCCAACAGGACCTGGACATTTGCCACTGTGTGTCTATGAAGAACCTTATACTTAAATATACAAAATTAACAGAGAAGGGCATCTTGCCAGCATCACAGTAAAGTTATTTGTTTCCAGGAGCAAGAATTCTCATGAGATCTATAAAATTCTATGACTGTGGAGATAATTTAGACCTTCACAGGCAGGGCTTCCTGTGGAGTGAGAACATGAAACTTGATTGGGGCAAGAAAGCTGGCTTCCAAAAGACACACACTTCATGTCTGTTCAGCTAAGGACTTACTTTACCTACATTTTCACAACAGTCATGGTTTTTTCCAACGGCCAAACATATCATGACCCTAGAACCCAGGTGTGAGGTTACTTACCTCGGAATAAATGAACAGAGAGCCAATCATTGTAAAGGGTGGGATTAACATGGTGCAGAGAACTAGCCCTAGAAATCCATATTCATTTAGATCAGTAGCAACAATTGAGAAGACAGTGACCTGAAATATTCAAGTGAAAGTATAAGTGAACTGTTGGGGAGAAAAGTTACCAATTCAGATATGAGACCTAGAGGCAGATTTGGATTTATAGTTTATAAATGGTATATATCAATACCTATGATATATTTCTTATAGGCCTATGATTGTCTAAGACTATAGAATTCTCTAGAGAGCAGTATTAGTTTTCCGTTCTGTGTAGTACAGGATTAAAATGTTTTCTCTTGGTCTACTTTTAAATATTTTAAAAATAAAATAATAATTACTGTATGCATACTTACAATTAAGAAGAAAAATGACCAAAAGCCACTATTTTTTCTTCCATTGCGAAAAATGAATGAAATAACATAGGTCAAGAAAACAAGAGATGAAACATATCCAATACTACAGAGGATCTGAAAATAAGCATATGAAAGCTAGATAAGGAAAATGAGATCTAAAAAAGTATTTACACATTAAGCTCAATTCTTATTCATTAAGAATTAAGCTCAAAGTTTGTGATAGCAAAAGTAATTTGAAGTTTTTCTGTTGACGATTAAAAATGTTACTGTGGACATGAAAAATAGTCTAGCAAAACCATCTTAGAATTTTTGTCACTTACCTGAATTAAAAGGTTTTGAATTATAAATATAATTTCATCTGGGCTGAAAACATAATCCATTATTTGCATCAGAAGGAGGATCAAGAAGTACAGTGGAATATCTACCAGTGCCTGTCCAAACCAGTAAGCAGATGGGTAGAGACCTGAAATCCACAGCTGGGTATGAGCTTTGTTCTGGTAGAGAAATAGGAGAATAATTAATATCCTTGAAGAGTTGAGGCTTGGGGAATTTGCAAATACGTCGTCCAAAGAGATTCACTTTCTTCATGTCCTTTTTAGATATTATGCTGATTCAGCAATAAAACTGTCATTTCTTCCCTCCTGCTTCAGGGGCATAAATGATGGTGCAGGTCACATGGCCACATATCCTCGAAAAGTAAAACCTACCAAGCAATATCACTAGCTCCCACCCCATCACAGAGTGGCCATTGCCTCAATGAAAAGATGCTTTCCTTTTCATTCCAAAACTCTTTTCTCCTTTGAGACCATGAAAATTTGCATATGACGCAAAACTTCAATAGATGTTGCTTTACAGTGTTTTAAGATTCTTAAGTTAGATTAACTGGCATGACAATGGTGCAGTCATACCTGGCATTTTACACAATTGTGTAAACAAAGGGGGGGGGGCACCAAATGAGACAACTTGATTAGAAGTCTGAAGTTTGTCATGAACAAGACTTCCACTCAAATATTACACTACTGTCATGACATAAGCCACATTTTTCTGTCCCAGGGCTTATTGTAACGTAATGTCTTAAACTATACTTGGACTTCGCTAACATTCAATCATGACAACAATTAAAAATTTCAATCTTAAATTGAGTTTGGGTGAATAAACTCATTGGCGAAAAAAGATAAAACCCATGACTTGACCCTTCGCTAACTCTAGAGGTGAGGGAGTGACCAGCACATACTCTAGTGCAGGCTTCTTGAAATTTTATAAAAGGGTCATGAAAGTGAGATTGTAGAGGGTCAGCCTTTTTCAGCAATAAGTCCAGGTGCTGTAGCAAATTGGCAAGGACTGTTTTACTGATCTTTACCACCAGATAGAAAAGAAACCATCATGGAGAGAAGGGGGGTAATGATGCCAATGGGTTAAGTGTTGACAAATAAAGCTCTAAGTGATATGGCAGGTAACAATGCCTTCACCTATTAGTGGATGATACCTCCTACGTGTCCTTCTTAAGGTCCTCCATTTGTTTAAGAATAAAATAGCATTTTCTTCATCTGTGCTAGCTTTAAAATGATTATTTATGGACTGCAGCACATAAATTAAATCTACCACCTATCTGATCTATGGTCACAAGATAGGGAGGATTGCCCAGGTCTTCATAACATCTCAGGATTTTTCTTACTTTATAGTCGCCGATGCTGCTCATTGCAATGTAAGGGGTAAAGCAGGTGGCCACAGGTATCCAGAAGAAGGTGTTACTCAGGTATCCATATTCATAAGACATGTGTTCCTGAAACCATGCACAATGCGTTAAGTTGATAGCAACTGGCTATATTGTTCATTTGCATGTTCTTAACTAATTCACTCAAACATGACAGCCACAGCACCCAAAGTAAATCTCAGATTCTATTATAACTTCTTATCCATAATTATTTTCAACCCCTCAACTGTTTTTGAACATGTGTCTTGATTTACTTGTGAAGAAGCCCACTCCCCAAGTTGCATGAATTAGATCATAAATTAGAGATGTGCATGAAACTTCTGCTCTCTGACTTTACGAGGTAGGCTGACATTTTAATAGACTGTTGAGTTTGTGGATTGCCAAAGGATAAGCTACTTTACAACTCTCAGAAATGATACTAAATCGGGACATGTCAACATTCATAAAAATTCACTTTTCTGGTTCAACATAATGCAAATGTAGCAAATTCAAATGACTACAGGGGCTGGCAGATTGAAATTTGTGAGTAGGCTGATGCTAGAAAATAAAAATGAATAGTCTTCACACACTCTGCATGAAAGCATGGAATTTTCAAAAATTTAAATTTCTGACATAAGAGGAAGTAGGATTTCTCTAGAGGTTTTGATTTGATTGATAGCCCATCCCAGTTCCAGCATCATTTTACTCAGAAGAGAGAAGAATGGAGGGACTGGGCATCTGGAACACGAGATGACGTCTCTCTATTTTTCACTTCTCCAAGACACAGACTACAAAATGGCATGAAAGAGCAAATCACATCACCATCATCCACCCTAGTCCACATCCCTGAAGCCACATGTTCACCCTTCAGGGTTGAAATTGAGTAGGAAACTGAAGGATAACCCTGGCATAACTCTTAATAACCAAAAGAGACCAGAAAGCTCTAGAACATGCCCAAGGTGTCACTTAAGGAGAACAAAAGTATAGTGTAGGCCCTCCCTGGTGGCACAGCGGGTTAAAGCACAGCACTGAGAATCTAAAGACGCTTCCGCATGAGTTCGATTCCCGCCTGCCCCGGAGGAGACCACATGGCGTGGCAGACCTCTCCTGACCCGCCCACTGCTCCCCTCAGCAGTGTACTTCGTTGATCTGCCTGTTCTGTTCCCCACTCTGTCTCTGGTGAAGCCTCTCACCGCCCCTGAGCCTCTGGCCTGTACCCCAGTTCTGTATGCACAAATAAATAAATCTTTAAAAAAAAAAAAAAGAAAAGTATAGTGTAATATAGTCATTGCAAAATATTGTGTGTATAACAACTCATATGTATGTTAGCTATATGAACTTCTTAAGAAGTTCATAAAATAGCATGCTATTGAAGCATTTCAAGAATTTTCTTGAAAATTCTTGGTGGATCACTCTGAAAGAGTATACTCACTTCAAAGTATGTGCTTCTGTCAGTCTGAATATGTTCTGAAGAATTAAAAATTCCAAGCAGCCCATTGCTAATGATATCCATGAGGACAGGAAAGCAATTCAGCCTTTTGGTATTACATGCTATTGAAAATCTGTGATCCTAAAATATAATAAAGATGCAGTCTATGTTCTCCGAAAGAAAATACAATGAAATAAAAGACTATGCTAGAAAATCATGCAAATTATTGGCACTACAATAAAGTTAAAGCACTGATTGTGATTAATTTACCATCACGCATATTATATGGTTAATTCGCAATATATTTCAAGGAATCCAGCATTTGGTCTATGCCAACGATAGTACCCGTCAGATGGTTAATTATGCCTAAACTCACACACATACAAATTCTCAAATGACTTTTAGCAGCAACACTGCACAACTTCGTAGTATACTACATCATTTTAACATAGCAGTTTTTGTTCCAAAATGTGAGAGAGCTATTTTATAAATATAGAATGTGTGGATGGGATGTTGGGGATGTGAAAACAGACAGCTGTGATGGAAGCATGGATTTTCACGAATACTAAGTTTGTGTCAGCAAGTTTGCTTGTGAAATCTCTTTAAAAGTGAAATTTTAAGCCCATTTGCCAATATAAGTAAATCATATCATTATGTTGCATAACTTAAAATTATATATTGCTGTGTATCAATTATACTTCAAGAAAAGTAGGGAAAACCCAGTAAAATGGCATTTCTGTGTAATAAAATTTCTCCCCCCCAAATAAAGAATATAATTATTCATACTGCTCAAAATGTGGGCAAATTAGCACTTATATTTTTGCAATCATAATTGAATTCAGCAAATTGCATGTAACTTGATGATTTAAAGCAATGTATATTCATAACAAGGAGGCTGCTTTTTTAAACTGTTTTTTTTTTTTCTTGAATATAATGAAAAACTCACCTGATTTAAGATTTATCAAGGGGCCCTCCCTGGTGGTGCAGCAGATTAAAACACAGCACTAAGAAGCTAAAGCCACTTCAGCATGAGTTCCATTCCTGCCTGCCCTGGAGGTGACCACATGGTGCGGCAGACCTCTCCTGACCCACCCGCTGCTCTCCTCAGCAGTGGACTTCGCTGATCTGCCTATTCTGCTCCCCACACTGTCTCCGGTGAATCCTCTCACCGCCCTTGTACCTCTGGCCTGTACCCCAGTTTTGTATGCATAAATGAATAAATCTTAAAAAAAAAGATTTATCAAGGATAAGTTTGATCACAGATAAAGTTTCTTCCCTTCTCTCTGGCATGGACACTTTCTGAAAATTGACTCTGCGAAGCTTCAAGTAGCCCATCTTTGTGAGATCTTGCAGCTGTATTTAATGCGACCCTCTCACCTTTCTTTACTTGTCCACTCTCAATATCACCACCCAGGCCCTTCCAGGGTCTAGGCAGGGGATAGAAGTGAATCTACTAAGTAGGGTGCAGGTTGGCAGTCTGAAGCCAAGTCTAGAAAGGGGAACTCTCACTGCCACTGCCAGCATGGGCACATGGAGGGATTTTTTCAAAAGAAGCCAGAAATTTACATTGCATGTGAAGTCTTCCAGTCTTAAGTGCTGCCAGATAGAGGAATCCTTCCTGAGTTTTCTTCCCATGAAAAACACCCTCTAATCTACCGTAAAAAAAAATTAAAGAGTTAAACTTTGTTAAGTAACTGAAGCCAAAGTTCACATTAGTATGAATCAAATTTACGTTTGGCTCCATCAACATGTCATTTGAGTTGAAATCCAATCGAAAGTAAGGTTCCAAGTAATCACTGGAACGGAATACAAGCGATAATAAAATTTAAATGTAATATTCACCACAGCAGTGCGAACAGTTGACTCAGGAACTAAACCCAGCAGAGTCCCATTAATACGAGGTATATTTACATCCCCATTTCGTTACATATTAGAACGGTGAGTGTGAGCAAGTAATTGTAGTCCAGCTTCTCCTCTAAGAGTGTTTGTGTCCTGTAGGCCTTTGATGTCGAGCGACACTGACTATTTGACCTGCAAGAGCGTGTCCCGTGCAGGGGAGCGTGTCCCGTGCAGCAGTCACAACACACCTTCGCGTCGCCGGACACAGTGAGGGCGCCGTTGTACGATGGCTCGTTGGGGCCAATTCTCGTCCCTGAGGCATCCACTTCCAGAGCTATGTTCTGCCGTCTCAGTGAGTGGATGAAGTCATCAATGCTTGAGCCTACGATGAGGAGGAGACCAACGCAGCAGGAAGGGGGTGAAGCGACAGGAGCAGTACAATGATAAGAATGTCGCTCAAGGCAGTGACACAAACTGAGGATTTTCTTAAAAGGAGGGAACTGATACTGTGGCATTAATGAGTAGGCATTTCCTCATCACTTCTGTTCATTTAAAATTAGCATGCAACCCTTGATGATATTAATTTTTCTATTTTTTTATGAATTTCTTGGACATCAGGGACAGGTTTCCCCCTAAACCCAAGGATACACAGCATTGGAAAACAATATGGGAGATTTCAGAGGCCCGTCAATAGTTCACCTTTTGTTGCTTTGTGCAATAAGCTGTAGGGTTTAAGTGAACTTGCAAAATCTGTTCTTAAAACAAACCCCCTAGCCTTCTATTTTAAATTAATGTCCTATTTGTCCTCATCTGCGCTTTCTAAGATGAACAGAATTTGTTTTTCCTGCATGGTTTCTGTTTCCCAGGGGAGCTTTCCAAAAGACTCCAGAATCTGCATGTTAATGCCAAGTTCACCTGTTTTATTGATGACAAGGAGGCGGGTGAGAGGAGCTTCAGGCTGTTGTCCCGGAGACAGAAAGTACATATTAGGAGACAGTCCCCAAGAATAATGTTTTTGGTACAACTCATAAAATAGATGTTCCAAAAGCTGAGGGCAAAAGCTAATGCCAAGAAGCAACAATCTATGTGGAAGAAAAGGCAAGAGAAAAAATTTCACCAATAGCAATTTGTAGGTTTTAAATTTTAGGGGATAGTAGATGCCTGGAAAAGAAACTAATTATATTCACTAAGCAGACACAAGGGATTATGCTCCCTCTGTCACCCCTGGATATCTCATTAAATTTAGGAATTGTGCTAATTATGACTAGCAAAGTTCACAGAGTGTAATTACATAAGCCTCCATGCACAGCCTCCCATATGCCCAGGCTCTACAGTAAAGCCCAGTCAGACTGCCATCGGGCCCGGGTCCATGGTTGATCAAATGCAAGACTGTGCTTCCAATCAGGCTCCTCCGTAGTTGAATCCCATGTCTGATTTATTTTGTGGGGCGACAGACATGTAACACAGAGCATGAGACAAAGGTGCCCATAAATATTTTTGAATGAATTGGAGTCCTGAGTGGGCTACTACTTTCATGCACAGAATCATTGCTCAGTGAAGAGCCAGAAACTACAGAGAAATGCGTGAGCCATACAGGAGGTTCCCAAGAGTGATGCTAAGGTTAAGATAGACCTATGTTACTTTGGGAAGAGAGGCAAGTCTTTGGGATGGAATCCAAGTGTTAATTCCTTGCTTCTGAAAGGCTAATTCTGTTTTGGCTAAGAGAGATTTTTACGTGAACTGAAAGGAAAAATCCTAACTTGTACCTGGCTTAATTACCTACCCACCTAAGCAATTAAAAATTGGTTTCTGTGTTCAAAAGTCTGTATATAGCCACTGAATTTATTTTATATTACTATAAACTTATTTTATATTTATATAAACTTTACATAAACTTATATATCTTATATCTATGCATTTTTCTTTAATTTTTCAGCTTTTATTTGACTCGTGATAACCAAAAATATTTGAAATATTCAGTTACTCACATGGTCAAAAGAGTTTTCTTTTCGTTCTTTAATTTTAGGAAGCGAATTTTCGCTATTGCACAGAGCTGCTGCCTCCAGAGACTCATGCCGCTGGCTGCTTTCTTCGTTTCATTAAGGGAAGACAAAACTTGTTCCAGTTCAACAAGGCTTCCTGTATCTTTTGTCCTATCATTTTGTAACTTTCCCCAAATTCCAATACCTATAAAACATAAAATTAGTTATTTACAAAGTAAATAAATAACTTTTGATATGTGTTATTTAGCTTTTCTTATGATCATCTTTTTCATAAAATGGTATTATTGAAGAGAGTTTTGGACAAAGATACAAGTAATTAAATCATGGCATTACTGGAGAAACTAATAAAGAAATGGTAATGGTGCAAAATAATGATATCAGAAATGCCTATCTTGTATTTTTGGAAAAAAAAATCTGTGCCTATAGCTTCGTAGGACTTAATTATTCCTATGGCGATCAATGAAAAGAGGTTCATAGCTAGTGAGGAAAAATCTATTCCTGCAGGAGATAAGGTGTTATGTATTTCTGACCATGGTGGGTGAGCTAGTACATTAGAACTTTCCCCTCCTTGCACCAGGGCAGGAACAGTGATAAATATATTTCTCAGTATATCCATGGCTAGAAACAAAACAAAAATTAGCTTTTTTGGGAAGAGAAGCCTAGAGAAACTGAACAACTCTAAACTTATAGAAAACGATGAGGAATTTACCTTCAAAGGGAAGATATATACACACAAAAAAATCGAATATATATTTTCAAAATTGGATAAAAGACAAAGTAGCCTTTTAAAACCCACTTGATTAGAAAAAGGGGAAAAATAAAGAGCATGGCAAAGAGCAGACACTACAGGATAATAATAAACCAGAAACAAGAAAATTTTTTAGAACAATGAGAAAGGCCATTTAGACCCTTTCCAAAGAATGGCAATTAGCCTGACAGCAAATCCTTTAGCAGCAGCAATGGAATCCTAAGTACATTCTGCAAGTTACAAGAAAAGTAGCTGGCATCCTACAATTTTGATTTTATTTTTTCTATATTGAATATGTTGTATATTCAACAATATCGCATGATTTGTTGAATCTGATTCACAATGACCCAGTCTTGTACACTGATTAGTTCCTATGTTTTATAAGATACATGGTACAAAATAAGGAATTCAAGATGGGATAACCGCATTAAAGAAAAGACAATGAAAAAGAAATAAACATTTTCCATCTGCTCTAAATTTTCCCCAAACCAGACTGAATACATAGCTCCAAAAAACATATAATTTGATCATTCAGAGCCCATTTTCAAAATAAAAAATTTCACAAAATGATAGAATTCAAATTTCTTTTTTACCTGATTCATCAACAGCTGATTTTCCTTCTAATTTCAAGAACACCTCATTCAAAGTTGTCATGGAAACACCATAATTCTCAATACCCTGGTTACAACATCTATCAAGATCCCTGTAAAGATCTATAAATAGGAACAAGGATGCGTCAAAATAGATATATTAGTAAAAATGATAATAATTTATATTACAAAAAGAGAAAACAGTTGTGATAAGCCAAAAGTATTCATCAGATACAAAACAGAAATAAAATTTTATTTTGTTTAATTTTATTTTTACTACAACTTTATAAGAGACTCTGAGTCACAAACACCCAGTTATACTACTCCTGAGTTTCCCCACCTCCACCACCCCTTTTTACTTTGACACTTTCTCCCCCCAATCCCTTGACTCAAGAACTCTCACTTCATTCATTGGTATCCACTATTTTTTTTTAAAGATTTATTTATTTGTGCATACAGAATTGGGGTGCAGGCCAGAGGCTCAGAGGCGGTGAGAGGCCTCACCAGAGACAGAGCGGGGAGCAAAACAGGCAGATCAACAAAGTACAATGCTGAGGGGAGCAGCGGGCGGTTCAGGAGAGGTCTGCCACGCCATGTGGTCACCTCCGGGGCAGGAGGGAATTGAACTCATGCGGAAGAAGCTTTAGATTCTCAATGCTGTCCTTTAACCCGCTGCGCCACCAGGGAGGGCCGGTATCCACTAATTTTTAATAAATATTTCACCTGTTGAATGATCTGCTATATCAGTATCCAATATTTGTCTTGGTCATTCTGTTTTGCTTTGCTACGAATAATTCCTTCCATTTTGCTATAAATGGCAATATCTCATCTTTCCTTATAATGAGTGTAAATTTTTTAAAAAGATTTATTTGTGCATACAGTACTGGGATACAGGCCAGAGGCTCAGGGGCAGTGAGAGGCTTCACCAGAGACAGAGTGGGGAACAGAACAGGCAGATCGATGAAGTCCACTGCTGAGGGAAGCAGCGGGCGGGTCAGGAGAGGTCTGCCACACCATGTGGTCACCTCCAGGGCAGGCGGGAATTGAACTCATGAGGAAGTGGCTTTAGCTTCTCAGTGCTGTGCTTTAACCCGCTGTGCCACCAGGGAGGGCCATGAGTGTAAAATTTTAAACACTCATTATTTCATTTTTAGAAAGTGACACAGTGGTGGAATTTGGGGAAATTATTATATTTTATCTAAATGTCTTTTTAAGGAATTATTAAAATAAATGAGTCTTACAGATGGACTGAATATTTGTGTCCTCTAATGTAATGGAATTTGAAGGTGGGGTCATTGGAAGCTAATTAGGATGAGACAAGGTCATAGAGGTAGAAGCTTCATGGATGAGATTGGGGTCTTTCTAAGAAACAGGAAAGCTCATTTCCTTTCTCTGGGAAAGGCTATGAAGAGAAGTGGCTAGGGAGAGATTACCCACCAGTATTCAACTCGGGAGAGATTACCCACCAGTATTCAGCTGTTCTGGCACCTGACCTTGGATTTCTGCTTGCCAGAACTATGAGAAATAAATACGTGTTGTTTGTGAGACACCCCATTTGTGGTGTCTGTTAACACAGCCTGGACTGAAATAGAAAATGCTTAATTCAAACACCCATTACTTTAGTAATATTTTCCCAATAATAGAGATTTGTATTTCATATTAGAGATAATTGTTTGATTACCTTCAAAGAACCAAGCAGTTAGATTATACAGAGGAACTAATGTTTCTGGAAGTGATTAAGTGCTGTGTCATTTCCCCTTGTTTAAAAAAAAAAACAACATGGATTAAAGGACTAATGCAAGTACATAGCTTTGCATTCTCTTTCCTGTCTTAACACTGCTGTTATTGTTAGTAACATCATGGATATAAAGCATGCCATGGTCTAGACATTCAGTTACCTGGAAATTTGTTTGTCCTTCCCAAAGGCAAAATATATACAAGCTTCTCTTCACTTTGGGCTGTTAGTTTGGCATCGGGGATGTGCTGTTTCACCAGCGATGTTACACTGCCTGGGTTGCACATTTCGTTCAGATGCAAACTGCATTTTAAAAGGGTAAAGTTATTTCTATCCAACATTATCTCTATGAACAATTCTACTAGGGACTTGTCACTTCATTAATATTTGCGAGACAAAATGTATAATGTAATGATAGACGACTGAAAGTGTCAAATTTACAACATGGTGGAAGACCAGTGTAAAGGAGACAAAAGTGACCCAAGGAGAAAAGAGATTTCAGTCACATTTGGCTTAATAAAAAAAACCACTGCCTCAAAACTCTTGGGAGATGAAGAAGTACATTGAGAGATGAGGCAGGAAAGTTGTGAGTGGAAAGGCATGCCCAATTTTGTCTCTTCTAGTCAAACACTATAGTCGAAATTCTCCTTTCTAAGAAATGATGAGTTCTACAAAAAAGGACTTGAACTTATAAAGACAAAAACATACTAATTTGGCGTAGTCATTTAGAACGTGATCCTAATGTCAGCCTTCAAGTCTCTGGGTACCCATTTTTATTTGTGTGCTGAAATAACATTCTACACTCAGAAGAATTTTGAAAGACAATAGAATTAAGTATGAGTTAGCACAGGGTGTTATCTGTGCTAAGGAAGCTCAATATATGATGTTGGCTAATTTAGCTAATTTTCTCTCTCTTTTGCTCCCAAGTGTATTCAAGTCAAAGTTGGTCTTTCTTGATGAAAACATATGAAGTCCTTCATGGAAACTCTGAATTTGACAAGTACTATTATAAGTCACATACAGTTAAATTTACTGAGGCTATAGAATGATGAGAGACTCCCAATTGGATTTGATGATGCAAACCTAGAAAATCAATTTTTGAAACACTGTTTTGTGTTTTGAGCATCCTGTGCTAAGCTTTCCTAAATGGGAAGGATACAAACCTTCCTGAAAAAAGCTTGAAATACAAAGGGAATCTGAGCCAGAGTTAACTCGACTGAGTTAAATTAGTCAGTTTAACTTCATTCAATATCTTTAGCCTTAATTGGTGAGTAGGTCTTTATTACTACTATTTTATAAATGAAGTTACTGAGTATCAAAATTAATTAAGTTCCTTAAGGCAGCAGTTCAAAATAGTATTTTCAGGATTCTAGAAAAGAGGATGAATATCAAGGAGAAAATGCTCATGAAAGCCCTTCAGTAATATACAAGATTTGAACATGGCTAAAATGTGTTGCAAGAGAACATGACAATCAGATGCCCTACCTCAAGCAGAAACAAGACAATTAGAATACAGAACATGCCTAGAAAAAATAGTGGTTCATTTTGTTTGCGGGAGGGGGGGTCCTGATTTGTGAGATTGCATCATGAAGGAATGGTAGGTTAGGACAGGCTTCCAGGTCAAGCACTCAGTGTAAATAACAGGGATTGGAGGAAAATCCATTTAACTACTAGGGATAAAATGACTTGATTTTTAAAGAAAGACCAGTATTTTAGAAGGAAGTATATAGGGAGTGATTCATATCACACCTATTACTTTGTTCCAAAGAAAAATAAATGATGAGACATTGGGTAGATTAACAATACTCTCTGATGTCAAAGAAGGATGACAACACCATCTTCTTGATTTATTTTGAGGGTTAAATGTGATTATATATATATTCCACACTTAAGTACCTTAAAAATATAGCAAACACTTAAAAATTGATAGACAACGTCATAATGATGATTATGATATTTAAAGTCAACAGAATGTCAAGAGAGAAAACAAAGAGAGAAAGCTATTTAAATTTTCAAGATGCATGAAAATATGACGAGAGGTCTAGGAGATCAATAAACCTCTCTTAGCAAATAATGTGCTGTGAAGATATTTTCCAAATTTTTTACTTAAATATAGCTTAATCATCTTTCTATTCTCACTGTCTACCATCCCACAATCCTACATTCTTGGTAGGAGAAGAGAAGTTTCCGTGTAGTTCTAACACAGATCTCCTGAAGTGAACATACACATGTGTGTCCTATGGTAGCATACTAATACTGACATCTGCCCCCGGTATGTTCCAACATGCTTGCAGTACCCATATCTGTACCTTAAATGGTAGCCAATACCCCATTTCTGCTTCAGGAACAAAGAAGAACCTGCACACTTCAGCTTCCCATTGGATATAAACACCTTCCTGTCTAAGTAGAAAAAACAAATAGGTTGCATTAAGGAGCTAATCTTCACTATTTGTAAAAGAACAAATTTACTAATGAATGAACTTTTAAAAGCATGATCTGGTCAAGTAGATATGCTCTCATTCTTTCTGATCTAATAAGTAAAGTAAGTTTATTGTCTTGTATATTTAGCAAACTGATCAAAAGGATCTATCTCAAGTCAACTGGCATCCCTATTAAACATCTTTGTGAGTATGCTACATGTTTTACAACTGATGCGATGCTTTGCAATAGGATCAGAGCATTCCATTGGGGACTCATTCAGGTATGTAGACACTCAAGTGGATGAGAGTGAGATTCATCCATCATGCCTCTCGGCAGTCACACCTGGCAGCTGTGATACATACCACCTGTGTTTCTAATTCCTTGCTAAGACCTATGACAGAAAACTAAGAGTCACCAGCCAAGATGTCAGCTTCATCCATGAACTGCGTGCTGAAGAGAATGACTCTGTCTGATTTTCTCTCCTTTAGGAGACTCCACACACAGTGCCTTGAAAGAGGATCTGAGCCAGCAGTTGGTTCATCCAATAGCAAAACCTGTGCAGAAGGAAAGCACACAAATCCATATTTTCCTTTCCTGAAAGATAATTTTTTAAAGTAATATACTTAGAAGTATATTTGGTAGAAATATCTTCATACTTAATCTTCCATCATAGGAGTCCTCTTCCATTCATGATTTGCAAATGAAGTTTGATGGAATAAAATAGTTTTATATTCAAAATGAGCAGAATGGACTCTAGTGTCATTGAAAAAAAAAAAAAAAGAGAGAGCTTTATAGTCCTGATTGTGATTTCACCAATCATTTTGGTTTGACTCACCTGAGGATCTCCTAATATGGCAATCCCAAAGGTGAGTTTCCTTTTTTGTCCTCCACTTAAATTTTGAGCAAGAATGTCTTGAATATTTTCCATCTCTAAGTTCTGTAACACTCGTTGTACCTGAGCAAATAAAGGATTTTTAGTCTGAAATTCAGAATGTTTTTATTTAAAGCACTAGTATTTTGGGGTTCATTATAAAGTTGTTCAATGTTCTATTTCCTTAACCTTTAGGCAATGAACCCAAACACATACTGAGCTTTCTAGTTAATCCATTTCATGTTTCTGACTGCATGACATGGAACATGTTCACTTACCTCTTGCTCCACTTCCTGTGGCTGAATCCCTTTTACTTTAGCAAATAGCCTCAGATTTTCTCTCACTGTGAGAAAGTCAAATTGTACATTGAATTGTGGGCAAATTCCAGTGAGTTTGCTGACAGCTTCCAAGTCAGCTGTTTCTGAAAGGGAGTGACTATAGATGGTGACCGACCCTGGGAGTAGGAGGTAGAGAATTAGCATCAGGTTAAAGGACAATAAAATGGGAAAAAAAATGTTTTTATCACTAGAGTCTTTAAAATATATTTTAGCTACATCGAGCAATGCCAAATTTAGTGTTCATGATATACCTGATGTAGCTGGAATGCCAATTAGTAAGCAGAAAGCTACTCATCATGAGATATTTAAGCCATAAAGATTTCCCATATAAATCTATAAAAAAAATTGAAGAAATTTCTAAAACTTTTCTCTCTCTTTTCTTAAAGATTTATTTAATTTATTTACACATATAAGAACCAGGGTACAGGCGAGAGGTGCAGGGGTGAGAGGGCTCACCAGAGACAGAGTGGGGAGTAGAACGGGCAGATCTACTGAAATACACTGCTGAGGGGTGCAGCCAGAAGACAGGAGCGGTCTGCTGTGCCCTGTGGGTCACTCCCTGGTTGGGGATCGAACTCATGCTGCAGTGGTTGGGGACAGTCTGAGAGCAAGCACTGAGACTGTGCCACCAGGGAGGCCTTAAAACTTTTCTCTTAATATCTGAATGTGATTAGTAGTTAATTAAACTACTAGCTGGGAATTAACAAAGTTACTTGACTGGAAAATACACAGTGAATTCCTTTGCCTATATACTTGTCATTGGCTGATTGTCTTCTCACCTGATGTTGGAGCCAAAAACCCACTGAGTATGTTCAACAGGGTGGTTTTCCCAGCACCGCTGTGACCGAGGATGGCAGTGATCTGGCCTTCATATATGTCAAATGCCAGACCTGCATTGTTTAAAAAAAAATAATTATACTCAGAGCCTACCTGGTAACATTACACTCTCCAAATTTTTAATAATTTCTTATAGCATGTATACATTGGCTAGCAAGAGTCAAAGTAAAATCTATCCATTTTTTTCTTTAAAAATATCTCCCCTATGTTACATTACTTTATAGCTGTTACATTGTGACCATATTGGTAGGTGATTAACACATTTTTAGATAAAAGTAAAGTCTATTAAAGATAGACTGTAATAGTGTCAGCTTTAAGATTAAGGAATGCGATAAGCTGAAAATAAAGAATGTGATGATGCTATGGCTTATCTGTCAAACCAATTGGCTATAGGTGGTGTACTTGACTTTCTAAAATTGTTATAAGGTCTTAAATTTACTTGGAAGGAAATGTATTCAAATAAAGGAGAGCCATAGTGTCTGGAGTTTCCGTTCTTAGCCCCTCCCAAAATGGTAGAAGGGGAGGCAGAGTAATAACCAAACAGCCCTATGAAAGATGAACATTCTTTATTACCTTTTAGAGCTTCTACTTTTTCATGTTTTCCTTTTTCATATTCTTTCTTAAGATTTTTTATTCTGGAAAAAAGAAGAAAATATTTTGAAGGAATTAAGGAGGTAGTCAGTCAGCCAATTGGTACATCAAAACTTGGGGGTTCTTTCCTTCCTGCACACCCAGGTGATTGCAGAAACATGCAGGACATGACCTTGATGAAGAATTCCCATCATTGTAAGCTGGCAGGCTGCACTAGAAGAAGCATCAGGTAGCACATGGGAATAGGAAGCTGGGAGAGAGGGAGAGAAAGAGAGAGAAAAAGAGAGAGAAGAGAGGCATGAAGAGAAAAAAAAGACACTTAGGAAAAAGGACATAAAAGGATTATTTCTTTAATGATAATTATCGTTATACCATAAAGTGTTAGTAAATGAAAGGGCTGGTAATTTCACACACACACACACACACACATACAGAGAGAGAGAGAGAGAGAGAGAGAGAGAGAGAGAGAGAGAGAAATAAGTGATAGTCTTTCATGAGTATAGCCTGGGTGAAGGTGTTCAAAGACACAAATCTGTCACATGAGTATTCTGCCTGATAGAGTTCTGGTCTGTCACCTGTTCTCCATTTAATTTACTTATTACCTGATGGCTTCTTTTCCATGGAATTCTGGAGACACTGGTTCAAAAGAATCATTAGATGAAGAATTTGAATCTGTTTCATTCTCAAGAGTCACGTGATCAACCCTTTTGTGTTGAAACCAGAAAGAGGACTTCAGGAAAAACCAGGGAGAATGTCGATGTCCATATTCAGCTTCATGAACAGGAGACAATTAAATACAGGTCAATGACCATTCTATGGATCATGCCCAACACAGAGCATCACATCAATACAGACTCCTTTATGTTAAAACTCAATACAGTGTCACCTAAAGGTGTGGCTGTTTCAATATGCCAAGGGCAATACAGAACAGTGAGAAAAATATTACTGAGGTGTTACCCACTATGGTGTTTCCAATATGAGAAGCATGTTGCCTTGTTATCTAATTAGAAATGCCTCAAAGCTTAGTGAGATAATTTAGGGAGAACTGAAATATAGTACTGAGCAAAATCTTAACTCCACTTGCCCTGATCTTAAATCTATCTCCCAGAGTTGCCGGTTATGCTGAGAAACAGGCATTGTATCATTGCCTGGCAGTATTTTAATAAGTCAGTAAGGACTGGTGAATTTAAGGTGGGAACTTGGGACAGGAAATAAGAATATTGAAGGACAAATATTAGAATGAAAGAAATGAAGCAAATGCATAGACATGAAGGAGCAAAGGGAAGGACTTCTTGACAGTAATTCTCAGCAAAATAAACATAGCTGGCGCTAATCATTACTCTGAGTACCCTTAGCACAAGAACCAGAAAATGTAAATACATTACAGGAAAATGCGTAAAGATGACAATGGAAATTTTTACAAGATAGTAAAGATGATTGACTCAGCCTACTCTTAAATTAACTTTTATGGAATGACTTCTGCTAGACGTTCTTCAAAAGTACTGACAGCCATTATTCTATACGTCAATTCTCTCAGAAAGATGATGAGTAAATATTCAGGTTTCCTTCTTTCCTTAACTAATCTTCCTATTTCCCCCCACTACCTTCTCCCTAATATTTACCTAACAGAATGAGGAGGAGATAGACAAACTCCTCTGGTAAAAACCTTTCTTCTCTGTGGCACAGATTGCTTTTTCTACGCAATTATAATGTTGTGGATATATAACTCATCATTGCTTATCAGCTGAATTAAATTGGGAAGCACTTTGAAATTAAAATCCAGTGCCAAGCACTAGCATCCTTCACCTAGTTCTGCTATAAGTGTGATTTTTTATAATCTCTGTGCTTCTTTTTAAAAACAAATAATCTAAAGAATTAGGGAAGAACAACCGTTAGAAGTTAACTCTATAAACAAAATGCAGAATACCTTTAGGCTTATTTAGAAATTTTGAAAAAACATGCTTGATAATTTATGCTCAATACATTGTAGACAGTTATTCTAAAGAAATATAATGAATGAAATGGTGTTTAATTACAACCATATTATTACTTACTGGGCAAAATTTTGTCAAAATACAACGTCAAAACCAAATAGAGAAGAGCATCAAATATCAACATGAAAAAGGTTGCTATGATCATGTAGGGTTTGTTTGTAGACTCCAAATGCACATTAGAATTCACATCATAGTCCAAATGTATAAACTGGAAAAGACATGCATATGTTGAATTTTGAAAGGATAAAGCACTAAGTTTTATTTTTGTCTTACTTCTGCTAGCCACTAGGATTGAATAGCTATAAATAGACATAATCGGTTATTACAGAGTTCTAATCTTCTGGAAGACAAAGTAATGAAACCATTCAACTCCAAAGTGCCTTGGGGAATTAATAGAGGTAGAAAGTAAGGACATAAAGAAACATAGCAGCAGTAAACAAATTCTATCAGAGGAGGTAAAAACTTAAGGAAGGGCCCCTCCCTGGTGGAGCATTGGGTCAAAGCACAGCATTAAGAAGCTAAAGCCATTTCAGCACGAGTTCAATCCCCCGCTGGAGGTGACCCACATGGCGCAGCAGACCTCTTCTGACCTGCTTGTTATTCCCCTCACCAGTGTGTTTTGCCAATCGGCCTGTTCTGCATAAATAAATGAATCTTAAAAAAAAAAACAAAAAAAAACTCAAGAAAGGTGAATTTTGAGCTGGGGCACAGGGATCCCATTGGGCTTAGACAGGAGAAGGAGGATGTTTCAGAAAGGACAATGAGACTATAGAGGAATGAGAGTATCTCAGTAATTGGGCAGAAGACAGAAGAATAATTTCTTTGTAATTTAATTATTTGATACAAGGAGTTTATATATCACATAAACTTACACTTAGCATTTTATATCTGATACATAAGTAGAATTAAATTTCCTGAGAAGACATTCAGTTTCATTTATAATTAGCCAATCAAAAAGTAAAAATGTATTTGTATCAAATTCCTGGTCTTCAAATTCTGGTAATACTATTAAGGATCACACTGCGCATTAAATTCAGTGAACACTATATATTATTAGGATCTTATTATTAGGAAACCAAAAAATAGACATTTTAAGCTTATCATTAGAAAAAAAACATTAAAGGTAAAATTTGAGCCATATTCATATAGAAGATCAAACTAAAATTGATAACTTACTAGAAGACTGTGCAGAGAGAAAGAAATGGAAACCTCTCCTATCTCATAGGTGTGCACCTGTACAAAAGTGGATGGGAATTTTTAAAAAAGATTTATTTATGCATACAGAACTAGGGTACAATTCAGAAGTACAGGGGCGGTAAGAGGATTCACCAGAGACAGAGTGGGGAGCAGAACAGGCAGACTGAAGAAGTACACTGCTGAGGGGAGCAGTGGGCGGGTCAGGAGAGGTCTGCTGCACCATGCGGGTCACCTCTGGGGCGGGCGGGGATCAAACTCCTGCTAAAGTGGCTTAAGCTTCTTAGTGCTGTGCTTTAACCTGGTGCACCACCAGGGGGGTCTGGATGGCAATTTTAATGCTTCACACTTGTAACATGAATTACTTCAGAGGGAACCTCTTTGAACTGTACTGTAAAAGGTGAATAATTACATTAACTCTTACCTGGGCCATTCCAGCAGTGAAAGCAAATGGGCTAAGAAGACATAAGGTCCACTCCCAAAAAGCAGGGAGATGTCTATACAACACAGTAAATCCCAGACTTCCCCAAAAGACAATCAGGAGAAAGACCACCAAGCCAGTAAGGAAGGGTTTCTTAACCAACACGCTCACCAGGAAAGCTAAAGTTATCTGGGAAGAGAGAGAAAACTTTAGTGAGCACACAATTCTCTGAGAATCATCAGTAGCATAATAAAATGAGTTTCATATAACAGAAAGGTATTTCATCAACCTTTCATTCTGAGATACTGTCTCCTATAAATACTGAAATGTTACAAACAGAAGGGGAGATTCAGTGAGAAATGACCAGTAGGTTTCAGTGAGGAAAAAGAAGAGAGGGGAGAGAAGAAAAGAGAAGAAGAAGAGGAGTGTTAAATTCATGAACTCACCAGAGACAGGCCATAGAGGAGGAAGAGGATGAAGACCACCACAAAGCCAGTTAGGACAATAACCTGGGTGGATTTCACAATAAAAGCCATCAGCATGGCCATAATGAACGTGAAGCCAGCATACATTAACCCCCAGGAGAACCTAACAGAAAAACAGAACATCAGCTCAGATGGCTGTTAGTTCACACTGACTCATTCATTCGTTCATTCAGCAAATGATTTGCAAAGTTTATCATGTGTCAAGAACACAACAGCCAAAGAAAATACAGCAGCTAATAAATAGGAAAAGTTCTCTGCCTCAAAAGTTCATATCTTACAGGGGGGAAGGAAGCTACAAATGAGTCAAGAGGTAAAATAGGCAGTTAACTACAAAAAAAGAAAAAGACTGGATGATCGAATGAAAGCAATTGGGAGACATATTCAGGGTGATGTCTATAAGTCTCAGTTCTTGATTGCCTTTAGTAAAGTAATTATGTGGACACCATGGACAAGATATACATAAACACATAAGGATCCACACATTTTTTTTTTCTATAAAAAGCCAAAGAGTAAATAATCTAGGCTTTGTGGGTAATAAGTTTGCTTTGTAGCATAAAAGCCATTATAGACAAAACACAAACAATGACTATATTTGTGGTTCAATAAAAATTTACTTGTGGAAAGGAATTTGATTTTCACATAAATATATGTGCACCATTAAATATTATTGCTCCTTGGATTTTGTTTCCTAAGCATAAAAAAATTTTCTAATTTTCAGATTGTACAAAAATGGGCTATTATTGCCAACTATGATATGAATTATCGGAGATTAGATATCGATGCAGATATACACCAAGGCAAGGACAAAGCTTATAGATGTCGATGACTGTGAAGATAGGTTGTTTTTGCTATTTATCCCAAAGAAACAGGAAGAAAGTTCTTCAGAAGAGAAAGAGAACAAATCAGATTTCCAAACACACAGATATGGTTTCAAATTTTCTCTGCTACACTGAAATTCTGATTCTGAGAGGTAGTGATGCTTTCTGCAAAACCTCTTTGAATTTCCTTTAGCTAGCAAAACTGGCGCTAGTCTGGGTCTCTGGTAAAGGTAACGGGACTTAATGATAAGCTTTGAAAGGCAGGGCACACCTGTCCTTCCTTTAGCTAAATGCAACAGAACATTTTATTTTATTGTCAGTTTGGAATTTGACCCTTGATTTCACTTCTCACATCTACTGCTCTCATATTTTCAAAAAGTTCTACTGTCTGCCATCTACTTATATAACATCTAATATGAATTTATATAACGCACTTTAAATACAATTCCTGCATCCTGATAGCCAAGGAGGGAGACACTATTATCAATGCTTCACAGTAAAGAAAGCTGAGGTTCAAGGAAGTTAGGGAATTTGTTCAAGGTGGTAATACCCACTGGAGAGGAACTGTGGCTTCCTGCCTCCACCCCCTTCAGTGTGTCTGTGGGAACAGCTCAAGGCCTGCACAGCATGATGACTCATTCAATATGTGGTCAAAACCCATCATTCTTTCAAGTAAAATAATGGAAACATATATGGTGGTGTGACGCCAGTCTGACCTTGTTCCGCGTCTGGCAAGGGTCCACCTGGCAAAAACGCGGGTGTCTGAGGGAGAACCCTTGGAGACCAGAACTGTGAGAACACGGACAGAGGTCATGCGGGCACAGCCCAGCATTTCGGTAGAGATAATCAAAGAGCCAATTAAGGAAAGAAATCCAGGTGTGTGTGTGTGTGTGTGTGTGTGTGTGCGCGCGCGTGTGTGTGTGTGAAAAAGGGGTATACAATGGGAATCTTAAAAATAAAGTTTCACTGCATGCTGGACAGAGCAGTCCCCTATGTCTGATTTCCTTCACCTCTGCCTCCCAGGTCCCTGACTCCCTAGAAGCCCACACATATACTCCATCAAACATCAGGAGTCTCAGGTTCTTATAGATTTGGGTTTATCTTTTTGCCACTGACTGAGCAGGCACACAGATAATTTTAATTTATTTTTTTAGCTATATATTTTACTTCATTCTTCCTTTTTGTACAACACATGCTTTCCCTTCTCAGGTGTAGTCCTTGTAAAACTCTCACACCAATTCACCAGTGCACCCTTCCCATAGTCCTTTGTGTGAGAGAACATTCCCTCTCCCGTTTTGATCCCTCTCTCTCCCATTCCCCTGCAGAGTGTCTCTGATTAATAGTCGCCTGTTGATTTTGATTTGTAATGTATTATAATTATTGTTTTCCTGGTCCCTTGTTTGGTTCCCCTACATCCCTCCTGTAAGTGAAACTAGCTGATATTTTTCTTTTTCTTCTGGCTAATTTCACTGAACATGATCCCTTCCAGCTCCATCCATGTTGCTGCAAATGGCATGAGACTGTCTTTAATTCAAAGAAGCATAAAAGTTGCATTCATCAAGCCTAAAGACTCATGTCCTCCATTAGAATACACTACTTGTGAAAGCTCCCAGTTTAAATCTGATATGTTGAGCACGACATCGTATTAGATTGCACTGTGGATTTGTGCTGTGTGATGGGTTGTAGCCAAAAGATTTACCAAAATGCTGACTCCCGAAGTCCCATCATTGTCATCAGTGACTTAACACATTGTCTTTCTTGTGCAACATTGACTGAGACATAGTATATAAATGCCGAAAAAGAGATAACGCAGAAGAAAATGAAAAAATCTGTCATGACTCCTGCTTGGGCAACAAACGGTAATAGCTTCATGTTTATGCCAGTCACTGACATGAGCTCTTCCATCACGGAATGATTTGTTGTGATCTGAAGAAAGATATCAATAAATAAACTTGTCATTAAACTAATTATAACATCAGGCACTTTTGCTCAATTATAGAAAGCTGTATCTATTTCACGCTTAAATATATATGTGATATGATGTCAGGTCATCATGACCATTCCCCGGGAGGAAAGAGCAGAGGAAAGACTGTTTTTCTCTTGAACTTTTAGGTCATCCCTATTTGCCATCTCTACTGGACAAAACTCTGCTCGTGCATGGAGTCTCTATCTAAATATATCTCTTCTGATATGTCCCATCAATGTCTTCCAATTCATTGCTTACCTACCACACCACTTCTGATTCCATCATAGAACCAAACTCTTACTACGGCTGTATGTCCATATTTCTATCTCCTCACTACCCAGATTCTCAAGTTTTACTTCTTTCCTAATCCTCAGCGGTTAGTGTAATGGTGTCAACATAGCAGTTGTGTAGCATATTGCACCAAAGTACTCAAGTGCGTAAATTATTAGAACTGCTCTTTATATCAATATCCAGCGAAATTCAGTTCACATTGTAGCTGTGTTCCCTTAACTTACTACTCACTTCTATGATGGCAGCATTAATGGCAGCTTGGAAAGCGACAAAGCCTTTCTCCCAGAATATGGAACCTTCACACATGATTTGTTCATCTATTGTTTGGCAATGCGCTTTAGAAAAAGAAAAGCACACATATCATGATGGGAGGAGATGATCTTGGTTAGAGGAAAAATCAAAGTCCACATATTCCAACATGTACTCCTAGTCCATGAACATGGCAAGACTGTTCAGGTGAAGTTCCGTAGAGTAAAACTAAGAAGAATACATTGGAATTCTTTTTTTTTTTTAATTAAGGTAACATTGGTTTACATTATTGTTGGTATTTTAGAAGTAGAAGCCTCCCCTTTAGGTGTAGTTACTGTAGTGCACCCACCACCAAATCACCCTTGGCTTACTGCCACAATCCACTGTGTTCCTTCCCCTCTTTGTTCTTGTCCCTCCTCTCAATCTGGATCCTTCAGTTCTATAATCAGGTTAGTTTTTAAGCTTGCCTTTATCTGACCCTTTTTTGATTTCTCCATATTCCATATATAAGTGATGCCTATTCTTAAGACCAATTCTTAATAAATTTGTATTCTCTTTTCTAATTCTTTCCATTAGTCAAGAATGTTTTGTTGAACTTATATTGTTTGGACCAAGAAAGCACAGTTAAAAAAAAAAAAATGTTTGGGCCCTTTCTGGTGGCTCAGCGGGTTAAATCACTGCATTAAGAAGTTTAAGCCACTACTGCATGAGTTCGATCCCCGCCTGCCCAGGAGGAGATCCACATGGCGAGGCAGACCTCTCCTGACCCGCCCACTGCTCCCCTCAGCAGTGTACTTCCTTGATCTGCCTGTTCTGTTCCCCACTCTGTCCCTGGTGAATACTCTCACCCTCCGCATCTCTGGCCTGTACCCCAGTTCTGTATGAATAAATAAATAAATCTTTAAAAAAATGTTTGGGGATCATTGAACAGAAGCCTTAGCTTGAGGTTTTGTTTAGCAGTAATGTAGGAATAATAACAAACATTTCCTAACAAAACAATGTACTGAAGACCAAAACTTTACTTCATAGGAATAAATCTCACTTATGTTCAGAAATGAAAAGTATGTGTTGTGAATGTTTGAGTAGCTGTCTGCCATTACATATGTTCCCTGTGATCCCCTGTCATAACAACAAAAGAATTTTTTTTTTTCTAAGAGGCAAGTTACCTGAGTGGTCTCTGTGTTCCTTGATCTTGGGGATTCTACCTCTCCAGGAAAACTTCAAATGATAAGAGAAGGTATCATTAAAGATGACTCTCACTGCATCTGTAGAATAGTTAAAGTCCAATTCATCCATGCTCTTTTCATCAGGCCACCCCATGACTGTTTTGCCTGCCAAGTGAGAGAAGGGAATAACTCAGTAAAGATTTTTATGTGGTCCAAAGACAGCATGCCATATTCAATAATGTTACAGCTCTGTCTTCATTAAAGGCAGTGCTGGTGCTCAACAACAGACTCACCCTTTGAAGGTGTGTGTATGGGGGTTTCAAACATTCTAAATAAAACCAGAAGGGCTAAGGGGCAATCACTTTTTATCGCTAATAGATTCTGCCTTTCCAAATATACCACTTAGCTAATAATTTAGAGTCTGGAATAATAGCAATCCTGTTGCATATATTAAAACTTGTGAACACATATATCTACCTAAAGTTGAAATATATTCTATGATAGGCAGATGCTGTAATTATAGTATATGTTTCCATTTGACAATGCTGTCAATGTGGTCCAATTTCCAAGACAGCATAAAATTGTTCAATTTGGAGTGTTTTGCAAGAGACTTTGTTTATTCTAGAATATATAATGTAACTGAATGGCTGTTACTAACCAAACCCAGACCATGTAACCCATGTTCTTCTTCACAGATGGGAAGCTGTTGTATGCATGTTCCTGCTGCACTTGAACATGTTCCTTTTCTTTGTATTTTATGTGACCTGATAACTGGCTCTAGAGGCTTAAGCACACTCAGGCCCAATCCCTTTGTCTTCTTACATCAGAGCATCATTGTTTCTGATTGTCTCTCCTTTTGAGATACTAGCTACGGTCAACCTTCAATGCCCAGATCCACTAACTCAATGGGAGTTTCAAAATGATGATGCATGATTTCTATCATTTCATTTTCTTTTATGAGTAGAAAACATAAAGTAGTACTTTCCATCGTTTTTTTTGGTTGTTAATAGTCCAGTTCATCGTCTTGTTCCATTTTCATACTAAGGACTGATCCCCCAAAGATAAATACTATGTTTCCTTTAACAATGTCATGAAAGTACAGATTTCAGCATATGTTGACTGAGTTTCAAGTCATTACACTTGAATTTGTGGAATATCAACTTAAGCCAACTTTGGTCAGTGGGAGTCTCTTCAGGCTGAGGACTGAGTCCTTCTGAAGTAACCTATTTGTTCTCAATGGCTTCTGAACTATCTGGAATGGTAACATTCATCACCCTATATACATTCCTTCCCTAGACCTCAGCCTCTCTATTCTTCTGTACTGAGTCACTGGTGTTTTAAGAACATGGGTGACAGAATTAGACTATGTCATAATTACTTATTTGGCCTGCCCCTCCTTAACCATATAACACCCTTGGAATAACATTCTAATACAACACTAGCAAAACAATTACTGAAAATGTTTTCGGGACCTTCCTTGTGGCACAGCACTATGAAGCAAGCTACAGCCACTTCAGCACAAGTTCGATCTCCTGCTGGGGAGGTGACCCACATGGCACAGCAGACTTCTTCTGTTTTGCCTCCTATTCCCCGCAGCAGTGTACTTTGTCAATCTGCCTGTTCTGCTCCTCACTCTGGTGAATCCTCTCACCATCCCTGTACCTCTGGCCTGTCCCCAGTTCTGTATGCATAAATAAATACATTTTAAAAAAGAAAATGGTTTCAATAGTGCTTCACAAATGGCTTCCTCATAGTGGGTTTTTTGTATCCTTCTCAGGCCCATCAGATAGACCACTACATTACTTTGCTCTCTCAATAACCCCAGAGAGAGAGAAAAAAAAATGCAGGCATGTAGCTCTTAGTGCTTCTTTCTCATTCACTTAGTTATATTTTGGTATTCAGTGGAACACTTTTTCATCCAATCTTGTCCATGATTTATTGGTTTGGTAGCTAATTTCATTCTTAATTCTTATGTTTTTGAAAAGATTACAAAATACATGTTATTAAAGCTGCTCAACCTTTCCAGAATCTTCTTACAAAATACATTTGAATAACCCTGGACTAGCTCACTTTTAGCTTATAACTAGGTTAATAAACTCTTTTTATGTAAAATTTCCTAAATAGGAGACTAGAAAATAAGATAAGGAAATCTCTGATACTAGAAAGGATTATATTTCGATGTTATAAGTTAAATCTAGAAGCTTGAAAATTTAAGAGTTCATCAAGAAAATCCCAAAGTGATTTTATGTGTTTTGCAAATGTGGAAATGATCATTCTAGAATTACCATGAATACCCATACATACCTTTCATGAATGGGGCTGAAGCTACTTTGTTCATTATTTCCTGGGTAGTTGTGGATTCGGGTGCAAACGCAATAACATAATTAGAATCATTAAAATTATCTACACGTCCCAGATCCACTGCAGGCAGTTGAGGAAAGTCATTGACTTGATGTAAATCAGAGGCAAATAGGAATACAAACAGTACTAGAAGGAATGAGAAAAAACACTCCTACACAGCAATGAGAAAAAAAATGAAGCAAGTCAATCTTTCAACCACAGATTAAACATTCACAGACAACCAAAAACAGTTACATCATGCAGTTTGGATTCCATCTTTGCTTTGCTCCAGTTTTCAATTGTCTCATTTTCCCTTTGTCCTTAAAAAAAATGCAATATGTGGCCCTCCCTGGTGGTGCAGTGGGTTAAAGCACAGCACCAAGAAGCTAAAGTTACTTCCACATGAGTTAGATCCCTGCCTGCCCCGGAGGTGACCACATGGCGAGTCAGACCTCTCCTGACCTGCCCGCTGCTCCCCTCAGCAGTGTACTTCGTCAGTCGGCCTGTTCTGCTTCCCACTCTGCCTCTGGTGAATCCACTTACTGCCCCCTGCATTTCTGGCCTGTACCACAGTTCTGTATGTACAAATAAAATAAATCTGTAAAAAAAAAATGCAATATGCACATTACCCATCAAGACAGTTGCAGCATGAATTCTTATTTTAATCGAGAATCTAACTTGGCCATACTTGAATGCAAATGTTAAAGACTGAATTGCTTTATGAATGTCCCAATGATCAATAGTCATCTGAAACCTGAGTAACAGTGATAGAGTTAGGTGGGGTGGGATAGATAACCATCTTCCATCAACAGAAGCAGCTGTCAGTAGACTCATCTGCTTGCATGTAGAAGAAGATATCTCCAAATTAGCTCATTGAAAGAATTCTGAAAGTCTTTATCACTGTGACAACATTCTAGAATTGGAAATGCAACAGGAAGCATTTGAAGTCCAGCTATCAGAACATGATGATGAAGATGATGATACAATTCTAAACAACTTTTCAAAAAAGCAGATATCATACTTACCATATGACCCTATTTTAGCTTTTTGTTGGCCGATGTACCTACTAGTACCTAGATAGTAAATCAATGATTCAATACTTACAGAAAAAGTTGAAAACTGGAAATAAAACAATAGAGGTAGAACCAAATTTCATATTTATATTTACATAATCCTTACTCCATACAGGGGTTTTCATGCACTTTGATCATTGCCAATCCAAGAATTTTTGAAATCTAGCTTATGAGTGATTTTTATCTTATTTGTGATAATAGTTTTTGAATTTAGTGAATTTTCTACACAAAAATAAGCATTATCTAAATAGACACAAAAGTGAAAATGTCATTTTCTTTTCCTATTTATGCACCCATCATTTCTTTCTATTTGATATTGTCTCTATCCCTAGCCTTATTGAATAGAAATGCTAGAATTTGATTTTTAAGAGCTTTTAAAACTTCAGATTACTTTCTGACTTAATTCTAGACTCTATTCTGCCTCTTTCTTCTTCTTCTTCTTCTTCTTCTTCTTCTTCTTCTTCTTCTTTTTCGTCCTGAACATCTGTTCTAATTTATGAGTTGAGTTCAAATATTAATAATTTTTATCTTTGCAGTATCAAATGTGGACTTACTTTTCTGAGTTCTTTTCAAAAGTGACACAGTAAGACAAGGAATAAGAATATATATTAAAAACTTATATTTGAAATAAAAGCCAAGTCCAGAATTTGAAAAAAATCCAAACTGCTAGCTAGAAATGGAATATTAAACCTTAAATATTAAGAAAAAGCTTTTGCTTTTGCTTTTCTTCTAAATATAAGGAACATAAACTGATCATACCAACGAGGTCTCTCTTTTCATCCTCCATTTTTTCAATACATTCTTGCAGAGAAGGGCCCATGTTTGCTGACCCACGCTGAAGTGCCTTTTGCTCATTCTGACCTGTTTATTTTAAAACAAGGAAGGAAAGGAAGTAAATGCGAAGATCTGAAATAGAAAACATTGCGCAATCAAATCAAAAGAAAACTCCTAACAGCTGTTTCCAATTGTACACACAGAGGAGGGAGCCAAAGTTCAAAAACAAAGGATGTTCAAGTTAAGTACTGAAAGAAACAAAAATTAGAACAATTATGAGATGTCATGTACATTTATCTTCACTTCCCTGGTAAAAATTAGTGTCAACTAGTATTGTCACCACAACTTAACGTTGTTCAATTTTCTACTTACACAGATATCTAATTACCAACTCATTACTACTTAGCAATATCCTGCCATCAATCAGACCTGCTCCTGGTGGATATGCCAAGAGAATTCCTCCAGAGGCACTCAAAGCAATAGATTTGCATGCACACATCAATAAGCAAAAAATCTGAAAACTGTAATATCCAGTGGTTTCACTTCTGGGAGGACTGTAGAGGAACGAAGGAGGGAACGGGTGAAGGCGGGGAAAGAAGTAGCTACAATAACCCCCATGTTTATTGCTGCTTTATTTACAATTGGAAAAACATGGAAGCAGCCCAAATGCCCAAAAGTAGATGACTGGATAAAAAAGATGTGGCACATATATACAATGGAATATTACTCAGCAACCAAAAAAAAAGAAACACATGTCTTTTGCAGCAACTTGGATGGAGCTGGAAAAGATCATGCTTAGTGAGATAAGCCAGAAAGAGAAAGAAAAATACCGGATGGTTTCACTCATAGCAGGAGTATAATGGACCAGGAGAGAAAATAACAAAAATAATGAACAACCATATACCAGAGACATGTTGTGGGGGTGGAGTGGGGAATGGGATCAAAAACGGGGGGGGGAGGGAAATGCATGGGACTATGGTGGTGGCACACGGGTGATTTGGTGATGGGAAACCCGCGGGGATTACAATCGAGATGGAAAAAAAAATGTGCAAAATGATGTAAAAATAAACTTTTGTAATATTTAAAAAAAAAAGAAGTAGCTACAATAAAGTAAAAATCAATATTATCAGCCAACTGTAGATCAGAGACATTCTGTAGGGGGTGTAGGGGGGAAGGAGGGAGAAGGGCCAGAACAGGGGTGGGAAGAGCACAAGAGACTGTGGTGATGGTGCCTGAGGGAAGTGGTGGTGGGAATTTCACAGCAAAACACACATTGTACAAAAATGAAGGATGGTGTAGTGAATATATTTTTAAAAACAAACAAATAAAACCATGAAGGAAGATTAGAAAGTTAATACCATATTATTTCTACTAATGTGCAGCACACACTTAACAAGAACATCCAGGAAGGAGAGGATCGCCGTCAAGTACAATGGCAAGATGACCGTGGCCGTGGGAACTGAAGACTGAGCCCAAACTGGGTGCTGCAAATGAAAAGAAATACATAACCCAAACAAGATAGGAGCCCTGCATGAACCAGTGATTTTGTGTGCTATGAGATCAAAAGTAGGATTGACCTTTTATGAGTGAAGATCAAAATAGGACCAAGAAAACCATCACAACGAACACTAGCCCCACCAGGAACAAAACTCATAGGCAAGTAGACAGAAAACCTCATGAAAGTTCCCAGGCTCCTGGTTTGTTCATGATGGATGAGCAAAAGGGTGAGTGAAGAGAATTTTAATGTTAAATAACATTTTATGTTTGCTTCTCATGTTCTGAGATAGTTCTAGTGCTTTGTAAGAATTAACTAGCTTGATCCTCACAATAAGCCTTCAGGATAGATACTTTCATTCTCCCCATTTTACAGATGAAGAAAATGAAGCACAGGTTGGCACCGACTCATCAAGCATCACGACTGGTGGGGGCGGATGGGGAGAACCAGGACTATAATCCAGATGGTCCAGTTTTGGAGCACTCGCTCCCAGACAGTGGGCTGTATCCTTACAGAAATTTGTCTAGGGAATGTGTGGGTCAGGTGTCCCCTCTGTGCAAGATCAGAGGGTCTCCAGCACCCAGACACAAGCAGCGCGGAGCACCCAGAGGGGCCACTCAGTCACTGGGTGACCCCCAGGCTTTGGCTTGTGCTATTCTCCCAGGTTCACCCAGAGGCTAGAGGACAGGGAAAATCAGATCTCTCACTGAAGAGGTAGAGAAAATACATAATTTGGGGGGAAAATTATTGCAATAAACAAGAAACGTTTTAAATTCATCCACCGAATGGCCATAATAAAATTCCATAAGGAAGAGAAAAAGAAGTGAAAAGTAAGTAACATATTACAAATTCCCACTGAAGTCAGGAAAGAATATACAATCTTCCATGACACGAAGAAAAGCTTCATTGGCTTCCCAAATGTTCAAAGGAAGTTAAACACATTTGAAAATATGAGAGAGAGAGAGAGAGAGAGAGAGAGAAAGAGAGAGAGAGAGAGAGAGAGAGAGAGAGTTGTCTGGCCAATCAGACTATGGATTTCAACATCACCAACTTGTAGTTTGAACTGCTTGCTCCTGAATTCTAATTCCAATCTAGAAACCAAGACCCCAGGACTATCCAACAGGCATTACTGACGTTCTTCAAACTTGATGAAGGCTGCAGATTGCAGCCATGACTGTCAGCCTGGCAGTGTAATGTAATGCAAGTGTTTAAGTGGGCTTTTTAGTGCAGGCCAAGACTTGCTAGCATAGGTTTTCCCCACTGTCCAAAAGCAGAGCATTCCAATGAAGCCTTTCATAAGAGGAAGTGGTCTAAATCACATATGCAATTACCATTAACTTATACAGAAAACTTTTGAGCATTCTCAGGTCCCTAAAGTTGCCAACCAAATACCAAATAGCTGACACAAGCTGAGGTAGTACTAACATCTGGTAAAAGCAGGAATGGGATGGCGATAGACACACAGCTTAATAAACATGTAGTTCCTAGGGAAGGAGCTGTGTGGGGCCTCTCTGGCAATTCAGTCACACCACCTCTGGAGCCGCTGCTACAAAACCAACACTGAACACCTTTTATGCTTTTCATCTTTTGTCATTTGAGACAAAATCTCCAGTGTATCTCTTTCAGTTAGTAAGAACAGGAGTGAAATCCCATGAAGTGGCTTAACTGATAAAGAAAGCATAGGAGGACCTCCTTGGTGGTGCAACAGGTTAAAGCACGGCGCAATGAAGCTATCTGCAGCCACTGCAGCATGAGTTTGATCCCTGGCTGAGGAGCTGACCCACATGGCGCAGCAGACCTCTCTTGGCCCACCTGCCGCTCCCCTCAGCAGTGTGTTTCAGTGCATCTGCCTGTTCTGCTCCCCACTCTGTCTCTGGTGGATCCTCTCACCCACCACATCTCTGGCTTGTGCTCCAGTTCATGTATGCATAAATAAAATACATCTTTAAAAAAGAAAACATAGGACCAAATTATAGTTAACAGACTCCATCATTCTAGAAGAGGGAATCGGTCCAGGAAATGTTCCAACATTTCCTGGACCGATTCCTGTGCTCCGTACAGTGCTTGGAACACAAGGTTGGTTGGCTAATGAGACCTGCGTTTTTAGGGTGATAGTCTCCTCATTATGCTGAGGGGGAAGGAAATCATGAGATTGCTATGATCATCTGGTTACTAGCTGCAGGACCTAAACACCCCAAGCTTTTCCACAAGGCAGGAGGAAAGCCATGACTATACTGCCCTCTGCAGGTGTTCAGGAAGTAATTCACAGGTGAAGACTGACTCCAAGGGCACCCCCTCTTCCCTTCTCCCCCCCCCCCACCGTGGTGGGCTGCAGGAATAATTTGCTACCAGCTAAGTCTGAAAGGCTGGGAGTAATTAAGTGGAATAAGATAGGCAGAATCATGTTCTTCTAATCTCAGAGTATATGAATACATTATATTGCATTGTACTACACAACAAGGGGGAATTATGTTAGCAGATGAGATTAAGGTTTCTAAACAGGGAGGTAATCAGGGGTGAGCTGGGAAAATCCAGTATAATCACAGTGTTTGTTAAAAGTGAAGCAGGAGGCAGGAAGAGAAGCTCAGAGTGACAGATGTGAAAAGCTTTGAAGATGGAGGAAGAAAGACCAGGAGCAAGGGGATGTGGGAAGCCTCCAGAAAATGGAAAAGGCAGAACCCTCTATTATATCCTGGAGAAAGGAACACCGCCAGCCAACACCTGGATTTTAGTCCAAGGAGACTCACACACACTTCTTACCTCCCAGACTGTAGAATGATAAATGTGTTGCATTTTCAGTCATTCAGTCTGAGGTGATATGTTACTGCAGCAATAGAAAACTAATATGAAGAAGGAATCAGACAACTGAGAATAAGGCAGGAAGAAATTTCAAGTCAGTCAAGCCCAAGGCCATTATAAGGCAAAATAGCTGGAGGTTCCTTTTCTAGCAGGCATCTATGAGCAGAAGAATGCAGGAGGGCTGTGGGTGACCTCCTCATGATGACGCCATCACCACAGTTTGTGCAAGCCGGGATACCTCAGTGACACCCCAATGTGTCACCTCCAAGTAGGAGACCTGGTAAGCTGGTAAGACCTGTAGACGTGGCAGCTGAGAGTGTCATTCTGTCTCCCAAGTGCCCAGTGTTCTTTCTTTCCAGGGTGGATGCATGTGCAGAAAATGATTAATGAATAAAAAATGATAATTCTGATCTAATTGTCCTCACTGTGGTTCTTTGTTTCTGACAGATTTTTTTGCCCCGCTGAATAACACCCTTCGTGTAAATGTCAGGGACAAAAATTATTTCTCACCAAAGCACAAAACATCTCACTACCTTAAATGATGCTGACGAGTCCTGTCATCTAGAAATAATAATTTGGCCATAAAGAGCCGGTCACTTCCCAGTCAGATTCCTGGTGTTCAGATAATGAATACACTACACAACCAATTAGGTCAGATTTCTTGTAGAATCATGGGATAAACAAGATCAGCAAAAACATTGCTTCAAGTTTTCTTAATGAAGATATCCTCAAACCAGTTAAAGCCACACAAAACTCTGAAAGTCATGTATCCTCCAATGATTACAATTCCTCTGGCAATAAAACTGAAAGTGACTGAAAAAATTAAGAATTCAAGTAACTTGGAGAATCTCTCATACCTGCTATCAAGCAACATAAAGTTCTTTTCAATTTATCCATAGCCTATTAGACAACATCATGCTATTTGTTTAAACATGCTTTAATCATGGGGTAAAACTGAAGAAAAAAAATCTTTAGTTTTCCAAACAGCTATGGAGCTACACAATATAAAATACTCAGCTTGGAAAATCAGAACAGCTCTCTAATAACCACACTGTCTTTAATAGATTCCATCAAATATTTGGCATCCCTTATCTGAAGCCGTATGTTATATTTTCACAGGCAAAACAACCATAATTTTAGAGGTTAACTTACTCCCAGGAAAGCTGGAACGAGAATCTAGAAACAGCCTCTCCACGGGTTTCTGCATGTCCTGGAGACGAATTCACATTCCTTTTGGGTCACTCCTACGTGATGCTTTTGAATTTCAGGTTGATTGTGAATAGCTCCGATTTAGATTGATTTCCGAAAAGGACTGTGGTCTTAACTCAGCCAGGCTGCCCAAAGCTCTGTGCTTCATCACATGAGGACTTCTTTACAGCTTCCCATTTCTTTGTCTCCCCGCCAGTTCCTCAGCAGGGAGTTTGCAGTTCCAGATGGCTGGACATATCAAAACATTAGGAATTATCAAACCAAAGTGGATCCAGTCTTTCTCAATTAGCTTTTTCCTCTAAAACTCCAATCGGAGGGTTGATCCCCAACACAATCTTTTTAAGAAAGGTAAGTGGACAGTTCATAAGAGAGCAGACACAAGTGGTAGAAAAGAGTTTTTAAAATTGTCCCTAAAGATAATCAAATGAGGTAAAAAAAGAACTCAAAATCTTCCACTGGAATTCAGTTCTTAAAACCTGAAATGTGGCAATGAAGCAACGTGAGGTTTTTTTTTGTTTTTGTTTTTGTTTTATTTTAGGGCAGCAAAATGGACTGATTTTTTGCTTACATTTCAGTTGTCTTGCATGTACATGGGGCAGCATCTTTCTTGAGGGAGAAAATGAAAGAATCCTTAGAGCCATGTCCTATAAAAATACTTGCATTCCCAACACCCACAGATTTTTTATTTCTGCAAGAAGACCCAGGAAACAAGTTACTTTCTCTGTAAGCCACCCCTGACTTCTAACACATGTTCTTCATCTTGCTCAAGAAATATTTTTCACAGGTAAGAATCACTGTTGTATTCTTTTTTAACCATCAGTGTAAGAGGAAGCAAAGGCATTTCCAAACTTTCCTACCATGCATAGAGTTTGTCTTTGGCTGCAGAAGCAAAGCAGCAGAGAACCCATCTTTGCTCTTGCAGCCAGTGTCAGTTCTGCGCCATAATAACTCCGGGACCTCGTAACTGAACAGAAATCCACGAGCTGTGTGTGCGCTTACACATCAAAGACTCGTCTGTGTCCCATTGTGTGTGCCTGTTGCACGAAAACGTCCTTACCTATTTCTCATCCCCTCAGTATTTATTCCAGCATGTTTACTCTCCTGCTAATTACATGTATTTAAGACCAGAAACTGCACAGCAAATAAAGTGCAAACAGACTGAACTTATTAATGCACGAGACTGTCAAACAAACAAGACTCTGACTGTTTCCGTACAGCTGCTGTCTTCCCTGCGAGAGACAAGATGATCACATTCAATCACATCGCCAGCGTTTTGTACACCGGGAATTCATTAGGAAATTGTTTACAGGAACTTATTTCCTCCAAGGATTTTGTACCTAGGACAGACCACATGCGTCCTGGCTTGGTTTGGCTCCTTCAGTACATCGGCCTCTGCCTTCCTGAGCACCACCTTAGGGTCTCTCCAGCACCCTAAGCCCACCCACGTTAATCTTCCTTTTCAACATTTTCTTGACTAAGTTCCATATCTTCTTCATGCTTCTAAACAAGCTTTAGAATCAGTGTGTTGACTGAAAAAAATGCAGTCAAGATTTTCAATGGAAAAAAAAAGGGACATTATTTGATCAGGATTTCATAATGTCCTTACTCAGCAACTGTCTAGGCTGTAACGATGTGCAAGTCCTCTCGAAGGTGAACACCTTTCAGCCACAGAATAATTTCCTGAGGTAGGCATTATTATAACCACCCCGATTTCACAGGTGCCAATAATGAGGTTCAGAGAATTCAAATAACTAGCCCGGATCCCGCCTGTGAGCAGAAATGGCAGACCCAGAGCGCCCCTTCCGTGTGCCATCCAGTCACTCGCTGGACGTGCACACACTTTACATTTCCCCTTGGCTTTCGCTGCCCCAGAGCTTTACAGAGTTCATGTGATGCATCTGCTTCGGGCTGAAACATATCTCCTGGATTCCCTCCCAGCTGCTTGCACAGTGTTCTTGTCCCCTTCGGGTCTGTGTGCACCTCGGCGTGTAAAGGCAGAAAAACCTGGTTTGCAGGAGAGAAGCCAAAACAGCCCAGCGGCCTGATGAAGAGACTGGACATGTCCAGACATTCCCCGGGGACCTTTCTGTTCTTGTTTCTCATCCTTTCTCAGATCCCGCACAGGCCTGCTTTGGGGTTTCGTCATATACATACTTTCCCCAAATGCCTCCGTTACTTAAAAACAGTTCTACTTTGGTTTTTGTCTTGAAACATCCTTTGTAGGAGCTATTTCTTATTGCAGTTGTATTTTTCAGGTATATTTCAGTCTATCTCTGTTATCTGCACTGGTCACTTGAAGCAGTATGATTTTTTCTTTTTCACCTCGCCTGTACAACTTTGATTTTCCACAAGGGAACCCTAGGATAACCTATCTATTGTGTTCAGGCATCTGACTGGATCGTCTCTAAACTAAACTAGCTCCTCTAAACTAGCTCCCTCTGTTCCTTTCTTTTTCTTTTTCTTTTTCTTTCTTTCTTTTTTTGGTTGCTTTTGTCCTTTTCTCTTACTCTGGGTCTCATCTGGTCTGGGAAGTTCCATGTGAGAACTTGTTGGTATTTCATTCTACTAGTGATTACTCTTAAATGTTGACAAACATATTTGAATCTGCATTCGTTTGGAAGAGAAAAGCATCAGCCAGTCTCTCTACCTGTGTTCCCTCGGTGACCTTTCCTAAGGCACTCCCATCCCTTAGGGAAAGTCTTTCTACATTTTCACCTTGAAACCTCAGCTCTGCTCCTAACTGTGCAATGCTGGGCAAGGGACTTACTTTGGAAGTCTCTTTCCTCACCTGTAGATACAAAGATAGAATAGTACCCTATAGGGGTTATTTGGAATTTTAAATTTTGAGACTGGAGAGGTGGGTAGCACAGGGGTGAGGAGAAATAGCCCATGTGAAGTGTCAGTACTTAGCAAGTTACTCAGCGAATGGGTTCCCAGTGAATGCTGGCAAATTCTCTGTAGCCTCCTTCAAACTGAAAATTGTCGATAGATTTTTTTTAAATTACAAATCTGATTGATTAAAAATCCTAACACCTTGATTACTGACCATCATTTCTTAGGTTCCTCGAAATGTCAAGCATACCCTAAAGTAATTTTTGGCCATTTGTACACATCTTGACTAAAATCTCAATCCATTTTCCCCCACCTGTATTTCTGGATTTGGGTTTCTGGTTTTGGTTTGGACCTTGACTGAAAATGATTTAAATCATTTACTTAAAAACAAAAACAAGATGTTATTGCTTTCTTGGATCAAATTTTGCAGATAAGAATGCTTCCAGAACCTTCATTCTCATCAGTAGTTGAGACTCAATGTTCTAATCCCAGCTCATATTCTCTTTAGTGGTGAGCTCTGCTTCTCAAAGAGAATCAAAAAGCAATGCCACCATTTCATAGTATTTGAGTTATTTTCTTTTCCTTTCAAGGATGTTTTAGGATTTTCTCTTTAACCACAACTCATGAAATCTCACGACAACCGCCGTGGGTGAAGGTCTTGTGTTTTTCTTCTGTCTTATGTGATACTTAAAGAATTTTTTAAATTCTGGGAAATTTTCAGCTAATACGTTTGTCACTATTACCTCCCTTTTAGTTGCTTCCTAGAAGTTTTTTTCCCTAGGAGTTTCTTAGATATTTGACAACTACTGTCCTTATTTTTACCTTTTGCCTGTCGATCATCATGAAACTAGGAAGCAATCCACTCTCACACCACACCAGATGTCACTTTTCCAGTGTTAATTTTTATCACCTCACTCCCACTGCTGTTTTCAGTGTCCTGGTTTCTTTGCAAAACCACGCTAGGTATTTGTCATCTTTCCATCTTTCTGTTGCCTCCAACTCCAGTTATACTGAAACACAATCCTTTTCTGTTTTTTAAATGAATGCACCTGCTCTTAGGCACTGCATTTGGTAATGATTGCCCCTCCCCCACCCCATCCCCCCATGATTGATTCCTCTTGGTCGTGCAGGTCTCTGGTCTGAGTTCAAGGAGCTTCTTGGTCCTTCTCTCATGTGGGCTGGATGTTCCTCCGGGTGCCCCTTAGCACACCTTGGCCACTGCTATTGTGTCTATGCTTCAATCCAATTGCATCACTTCTTTCACCACAGATTGTAAACTTCTGAAGGCAAACACAGGAACTTCACCCCTGTCCACATCACCGTCTGGGGTGAAATATGCAATGCAAATCTTGAGTTTTAAATGTGTAATGTCAAGTAAGAGGGGAAGAAGCAAATAATAATATCACTGATTGTTTCCAGAAGCCTGATGATAAAAATAAAGGTCACGGGTTGGGTAAGGTGGTAGTTAAAATAAGTTGTTTTGTTCAAGCTTTTTATTAAAGATGGTATTTAGAAAGAGAAATAAAAAAGTAAATGCTGAAAATACAGAACAAATTGTCAGTTGGAAGATGGCTTCTTGTGGGGAGAATCGGTGGGAATAAGCAAGGATTAAATCAAAATGAAATTGAAAGAACAGCTTTGAAAAGGGAAAGGGAGTGTTTCATGATAATGAGAGAAAAATGGAGATGGAAGTGAAAGCTAAGAGAAATTTTAAATATGACAATACATGATCAAGTCTTAGCCCCTGAGAGTTAAGATATTTTTCCATGAAATGTGGAGAACGTTCTAAGAATAGATCCACAGATGTGCTCACAACTGATGATAGTTCATGAGAATGTAGGAAATTTCCTGTTAGGGACATGAGTTACCCCAAAACCCCCTAAGGCGGGTAGTAAGCCTCAGAACAAAAGGAAGATGTGTCTGCTTTGCCTTTAACTGACGGCTTCAAAAAACATTTTCTCAGAAGTTGTTTGTTGCTGATTAAAATCACTGGTAGATTAATAAAGGCATCAGTGGCTCCTGAAAGAACAGTTTACTTAAAACTTGACAACAAGAATGCTTAAATGAACATGAAAGAAGAACCAGTGTTGTGGAAAAACTGAGTGACGCAAACATCAGCCAAAGGAGAAAAAGACCACGCTGGAGTCATGCATTAATATATGTATTGTCACATTGTGTGATGATTTGGCTCTTTTATTCTTTCTAAGAAATATGACTTCATATATTTACTGTTTCCACCAAGTTTGAATTCACAAAGGAATATCACCAGGTCCACGCAGGTTTCTCTTTTGCTCCCCTTATTTTCCATAAGGCTTACTTAAATGTGAGGCTTCTGGAACATCCACATCAATTGCAATTACACCATTAAAAGGGCCAGGTAGAGTTATAGCAGCTCCTCGGGCTTGAAAGAAGTAAGCTGAACTACTAGTGAACTTCTCTTCTACTTTACTGACAGTGGTGGAATAGCTCATGGCAGGGGCCAAAAATAGAGTTTCTCCATTCAGGCAGGTGCCAATCTCACAGAAGGACTGCATGGAAATGCTGCAATTGTGGCCCCTTCTCTCTCATCAGGTACTGCATTGTTCCACCTTTCAGGTTGCTATTCTTTTCTGTATCTGTTTTTCAAAGTTTTGCTTAGCTTCTATTCCTATACCTTATTTGGGCATGAGCTTTTCTCCTCCCTAGAAAATATTTGTTGAGATTTATATAAGAAAGTCAAATGCTCAGTCTTTTGGAACTTATTGAACAAAAACTATGTATTCCATCATGTAAATGTGTTGCTGACAGTATACAATCATTGTTCTTCCAAACCCACTCATGTCAAAATTTAAAAGCTTTTCCAAAAAGATGTGGTACCTATAGGCAACGGAATATTACTCAGCAATCAAAACAGATAAACTCATGCCATTCTCAGCAACATGGATGGAGCTGGAAGGGATCACCATGCTCAGTGAGGTAAACTGGAAATAAAAATAAATACACTTTTTGGAGGAATGTAAAGGATCAGGTGGGGAAAAAAGTAACTATAATAATAAAATCAAAATCAAAATCAAAATCAAAAGACAACTATGAACCAGAGACATTCTGCAGTGGGAGAGAGGGGAGGAAGCTCAAAACAGGGGTGAGAAGAGCACAAGATACTATGGTGATGGTATGGTGATGGTATATGGGTGAACTGGGGGTGGGAATTCCACAGGGACTCCCATGGAGATGAAAAAGCATACAAAAATGAAGAATAATGTAACAAATGTGTATAAAAAATTTAAAAGCTGAAAAATATTGAGCTAATTATCTTTTATCATTTCAGGCAAAATAATGCACATGTAATTTTAAAGGACAATAGCAAGATTTTGACCAAATGTTGGGCTATGCCAATATATTTAGTCCCTGAATACAAACATCAAGTGAACGGAAGGTTATAAAAGTGGAGATCAAATTCAAAGAAAAACAAATATCCAGAACCCAGAAAAGAAAGGAGAAAACAAAGTTAAAATAAGATTGCTGTTTTAAGCCAGCCAGTTTTAGGGTGGTTTGGCACAGGCTGATTGACAAACCAGTTAAAATAAAATTCCTATGTAAGGATAAAAAAGACAAATATTTAAACAAAATCTGGATTGTTTTTTACAGATCTCTCTGAAAGAATTATTAACAAATACCCTTCAAGAAACTGAACCCAGAAGGAAGAACTTGGATGCTAGAAACTAGTAAATACACTGATGCAGTGATCACAATAACTGATCTGTGAGTGGGGTGGGAGGGTGAAACAGCAACTGATATAACCATCAATTATATGGCAGGAAAGAGGTAGGAGCAGAGCTGCGTGTTCTGGAAACGCTGTGGGTCAGTGCTGACCAACTGCCCTTCCAGCTGGGTGGCATTTAACCTGTCATTCACCAGATCAGTGACTTTTGAAAGTCAGTTACTTCGCCTCTGACTTGTGAAGAAACTTAGAAGGCCTCATTCCCTTCACTAAACAACAAGAAAAAGCTCAGGAAGCAGAACATTGGTGCTTCGTGGACCCACCAGAGATGGGGTTCAGGGCAAATCATGGCTCTGAAATCTGTGCTCATAGTGGCTCAAAGGCATTAAGCCACCCTGACACTTTTTATAATTCCAGTTTGCTTTGATTCAGCTCCCACTCAATTATAGCTTTCTTGAGGGTAGTCTTGTGTGGAAGAGCTAGTGGTCTCCCTAAATGCAGAATATACTTTCTCCGAAATCCAAGCCAACCAACCAAAGGCGGGGCTTTCGGGGGAAATGACATGTAGTCGCTGCATGTAGTCTATCCTGGGTATATCCTGCTTAGTTTATTTCTGACAATTTTGTCATGAGGGCATCCTTGGGCCTTTGCTGGGTTTACTAACTGGCCTTGGTTGGTAATGTGCACTACTGCATTCAAATCACTTCTGGCCTTCTCTTCATCTTGCGCTATGATCTTATCAGTATAGTGCCCTGGTCATATACATATATATGTCAATGTACTGATCATATAATAAGTGCATTGATTATACTGAAGACCTGCTTCAAGTCCAAATCCTACTGAGCACATCATGACAGGAAGACACCTATATATAGATAACCCTATATGCATATGAATTATGTAAACATATTTCTGTAAATTAAGAAAATTCATAGTCTATAAATAATACAAACAAAGCTTTTGTCATATTATTAAGTAAAATGGTTATTTAGGTTGTGATATTGCACAATTGAGCATGACTGGAGAATTAATTGCTTAAATTTTAGAGATAATGTAAATTCAGCTCTCACTTTAATATGGATGTACATTTGTAGGGCACTAAATGTTCCTGAATAAACAACAAACCATAGATCACCTGGCAATATAATACTCCAAATATATTATGATATATGTAAAACAGAGATAAAATAGGTCATCATAATAAAATATTATAAAATGGATAAGAAAAGACCGAAGCACAAAAATTAATGAACAAAGAATACAAATAATTAGCACAAAATAAATGGAAACATATAAACCTGCAATGTTACCATAAATTTAAAAGCAAATTAAAATATGCATCTATATTTTCTTAAGAAATTATGCATACTAAAGTGATTATAGCTATATAAAAACTGCATTAAGGAAAGATGAAATATGGGTTGGGTATGAAGAATTTTGATTGATGCTTTTAATCAGATTTATTCAATTTCTATATTTGTCCCTGCTATACAGTTTTTCTTCAGTGATAAGAAAATCTTTTAAATAGTTCATCACCCATCTCTTGTCCCCCACCCCACCAAAAAAAAGCATCAAGAATACTGCTTGGTCTTCAAAAGATTTTCTGGTGATATTAAAAATGAAGTAGATAATGTTTAAAGAAAAGATGAAAGCAGATGGATTTTTTAAAAGTCATGCAGACGTGTGTGTAGTGTGGACACACACAAAGGGGTACACACAAAAGAGGAAAATGACCATACAGGAGCAGCAAAGATACATGGGGAACTAGTGATGAGGTGATGAGGGAAATCAGCATCCCACAACTGTGAAATCAACACAATATTCCAATATTTATGTCTGAATAAATGCTGCTGTGATTCCCCCCTCTTTAAAAAAATATTTATTTATTTATGCATATAGAACTAGGGTACAGGCCAGAGGTGCAGTGAGGTGAGAGGATTCACCAGAGACAGAGTGGGGAGCAGAATAGGCAGGTTGACTAAGTACACTGCTGAGGGGAGCAGCGGGCAGGTCAGGAGAGGTCTGCTGCGCCATGTGGGTCACCTCCCTGACTGGGGATTGAACTCAGAGTGCTGAGCTTTAACCTGTTACACCAGGGAGGGCCTGAATTACCTTGCTTTAAAAAGACATGTCTGAACCACTTTTCCAGTGTGCAAGCTGGTTCAGTTATGAGTCCCAGGGATGCCTAAGCCTAGACTTCCAAAACGATTTCTGCAGGTATCAAGGGAAGACCTTTCCATTGATTTGTGTATCAAAACAATTGCATAAACCCCAATATCACAACTGGTGGGTGCTAATTTGAGGGTTGATTATACCCCTCACATTATTCAGCAAGAAAATATTTCAGGAAACATATTTCAAAAATCATACTTCCAAAAATTCCAGGATTGTGGTTTGTATTTCCTTAGTACCCAACACCTGGCTCTTCAGGTAACCTTATTAATCCTGTGTACTGCCTTTGTCACAGATTTCTATCACCTCTAAAATGGGGGGAGAGAATAATTTTTCAATGCATTCTTTTATTAATATAATATACAAATATACCTAGTATTGCTGTTAGCCATCTGTAATGATCATACTGCTAATGAATGCAAACAAAAAGCTTATCTGACAGCAGCAAGGAATTGCTGGGCTCCAGGAACTAAGGGTCATCTGAGTGAAGAAGAAGCTTCCACCTCATGGTTGTGTCAACTTCTTCATCAAGCTCTCCCAGCTGCTGCTCCTTGGAGAGCTCTAAGATTACCTGCAGGAGAGGCAGAAGAAGGGGATGGGAGGTTCAACTCACTGCTGGTCTTTCCAATGTACAGGAAAAATGCAATGCACACTACTGCTAGGTGAAACTTACAAGGGTGATAGAGAACCATGAAAGTTAACTCACCTTTTTTTTTTTTTAATATTTATTTATTTATTTGTATAGAACTGGGGTACAGGCCAGAGATGCGGAGGGTGAGAGGATTCACCAGAGACAGAGTGGGGAGCAGAACAGGCAGATCGACGAAGCACACTGCTGAGGGGAGCAGCGGGTGGGTCAGGAGAGGTCTGCCACACCATGTGGTCACCTCGGGGGCAGGCGGGAATCGAACTCATGCGGAAGTGGCTTTAGCTTCTCAATGCAGTGCTTTAACCCGCTGCGCCACCTGGGAGGGCCTCGCCTTTTTTTTATTCACACACACACACACACACACACACACATACACAGGAACTATGCATCTATCTATCTATATATTCACACTTTTCTTCATTTTGTACATTTTTCGTCTCAGTTGTAACCCCATGTCACTTCACCCCTGTGCCATCACCACAGTCCTGTGTGATGGCAGTTTTGATCCTGCCTAGTTTTGATGCTGTTCCCCTCTCCTCCCCCATAGACTGTCTCTGGGTTATAGCTGTTAGTTGATTTTCATTTTTACTTTATTACAATTACTTCCCCCCCCCCGATCCTTTACACTCCTGCTATGAGTGAAACCATCCAGTATTTTTCTTTTTCTCTCTGTTTTATTTCACTAAGCATAATTCCTTCCAATTCCATCACATTACTACAAATGGCATGAGTTTCTCTTTTTGATTGTTGAGTAATATTCCATTCTCAAACTGCTAAAAATGGAGCTTCTGTATGATCTAGCAATTCTATTCCTAGGTATCTACCCAAAGGACACCAAAACATTAATAAAAAAGGACACCACACCCCTATGTTTATTACTGCTCTATTTACATGAGGGAAGATGTGGAATGAACCCAAATGCCCAAAAATAGATGCCTGGATCAAGGGGATGTGGTACATATACACTGTGGAGTACTATTCTTTTTTTCCACCCAGATTTACTAATTTATGCATACAAGATTTGGAGTGCAGGTCAGAGGTGTGAAGTAGGAGAGACTGCACCAGAGACAGAGTCGGGAGCAAAACAGGCAGAAATACACTGACTGAAATACACTGCTGAGGGGAGCAGCGAAGATACAGGAGAGGTCTGCTATGCCCTGTGGGTCAGCTCCCTGGCCGGGGATAAAACTCGTGTTGCAGTGGCTGCGAATAGTTTGATAGCGCTGTATCTGTAACACCTGCACCATGGGAGGCTCCATGACTCACCTTTTCCAGTGTGCACTGAGAGAGACTGTATTCCTCCAGGTCAAAGTTATGTTTCACTGGGGAAAAAAAAACAAAACAAACAGACTGGCCATAGATTCTGGCAATTTAATACCCAGAACTTTTAACAAAGTCACTCAAAATAAAAATACAGTATTCAGAGCCATGAAATATAAAGTTTGGGAAACAAATGCTTCGTGAAAGGAAGAAACAACGGAAAGTCAGAGTTAATACAAATAAATACTAAATTTATCTTGATTATAGGTTTTTCTCATATTACATTTGATGACTTGATGTACTACTTACTGTTTATCTCTTGGGAAGATGCGTGAGGTTCTTGAGTAACTTACTTAATTATCGTCACACATGAAACCATGTGATGTGCTTTCACACATGGGGAGACTCAACCTCATTCTGCTTCCATTAAGTGGACCTCATACTTCTGTGTGACTGTGCTTCCATCTGTCTGTTGTACTAGCTCTCTGTGGGGCTTTCCCACAAGAAACCCCCCCATAATGGGTCATCAGATGCACATAATCACACTTTACCATTTATAAGTTAAGAATTTCCTATGTGCAAACCACCGCTAGGTGCCAGGGATTGAGTAGCAAAGAAAATACATTAAAACAAAAACTGTTTTCACCACGTGAAGAAATTATCATCACTCATCCGCAGGGAAAAGAAAATCAAAACCACAATGAGAGACCACGCCTGTGAGGGTGAGAAGGCCTGTATCTAAAAGAGCAGAAATAACAAGTGTTGGTGAGGGTGGAGAAAAAAGAGCCCTCTTACACTGTTGGTGGGATGGAGGCTGGTCAGCCCCTATGGAAAACAGTATGGAGGTTTCTTAAAATATTAAAAATAGATCTACCATAGGATCAAGCAATTCCACTCCGAGGTTGCTACTTAAAAGAATGCAAAGACACTAATTAGAAGGGAAACATGCACTTCTGTGTTCACGACAACACGATTCCCAATAGTTAAATTATGGAAACAACCCATGGTCAATGACAGATGAGCAGACTCCAGAAGATGTAGTATTTATAAATACACACAAAGGAAATACAAATATACAGCTAAAGAAAAAAGATGAATTCTTGCCATTTGTGACAACATGGATGGGATTGGAAGAGATTCTGCTAAGTGTATTTTGTCAGAAGGAGAAAGACAAATACTGCTGATTTCACTCATATTTGAAATATAGAGAAGCGAAACAAAGGATCAGACAAAACTAAACCAAACACACCCATGCAATATGTCTGAAGAACTGGGGCTATGGGGGGTCCGGGTGGGGGATGATTCTTTAAAAACTGTATTTAAAAAATGGTTGTTCTTACCTGCCTCTAACTTGTAAAAGGCCTGAGATAGAGGCTGAACATCTGTCAAGGGCAGTTTATAGGCCAAGAAAGAAGAACACCTGGGGAGAAGAAAATAGTTATATTTGACCTTGAGTTTCAAGGGGAGAAAATGACCATCAAAAATTGGTAGTATCAGTAATTTCCTTTTTAAAATAAAGGCAGCACAAGCTAGTAGATGTCTTAGATATGAAATAAATAAGATAATTGATCAATGGACAACTCTTAAAATGACTTTGGCGGCTAGCTGTCGGAGACAGCTCCCCTGGAAGCTGGCAGGAAGTGATCCTGCTTGATGAGCCACATTTTTTTATTCCATCTGTGTTACCAGAAAGCTAAGAAAGAAAGATAAGAAAAGGCCATAGTAATGGAGACATTCAAAAGATTTAACTGGAAGCTTTTTCTGTGACAGGAAGAGCCAGCACCGATATTTTAGCATCTTGTTCCCATCTGCTGCTCTGGCTTTATAACCTCATGCCCTACCCTCAGCATGTTCCCAAGCAGGATCTGGTGTCCCTGGGTGGTCCTAGAGCTACCCTGACCTCCAAGATGAACCCTCTTCTGCGAGATGCCTGCTCTTGCAGCCTTACTATCACGCCCTCCCCCTTGTACCTGTATCAGGCTTGGATTTCTGACCTCAAAGGCCTGGAAATAGAACCCTGCTTAGTATTTTCCCAGGCATATACTTCAAGTAATTTTATTTTTTTATTTTAAAGATTTATTTATTCACTCATACAGAACTGGGAACAGGCCCGAGGTGCAGGGGTGGTGAGAGGATTCACCAGTCACAAACTGGGGAGCAGGATAGGCAGATCAACTAACTACACTGCTGAGGGGAGCAGTGGGCAAGACAGGAGAGGTCTGCTGCACCATGTGGGTCATCTCCGGGGCCAGGGATCCAACTCACACTGAAATGGCTGCGGCCAGCTTTCAGTGCTGTGCCTCAACCCACTGTGCCACGAGGGAGGGCCATCCTAAGTAATTTTACTATATTTAATCAGTATTAAAATGAAATTAGCAGTTGCTGTGTCCGGCTCTTTTGATGTGTTCACCCCTTCAAGGAATTTCAAATTCAGTGCTGGCTCTAGCTCCATGCCTTCCCCCAAGTAGCACAGATGCTCACAGAAACACAAGCAGACACACATACACCCTCCCCTTGCTTCTCTCCATTTTGAAGCATGAAATGCCATAAGAGGGAGACCCTTCCATTATTTCAATCATTTGTATCCTGTAAGGAGGAAATCTCTCTACTTATATCTTTTAAATGATGAATATTTACATCTTCTAAGCAGCTACAGAGTGGTGCAGGAGGGTGCTGTGGGGTCAGACTTAATCACAGAGCAGGCCTGGGTCATCCACACCTTCCCTTATTTTTTCCAAGTTCCCTTTCACAACTGGAGACATTCCTTATATGGCAAAACAGGTCCACCGGAATATCACAGCTTAATGGGTAGTTTCATAAACTAGAAGGTTCAACAAATTAGCACTGGAGGTCCCTAATATGTATTATGAAATAAAATCATCCAGAAGTTCTCACAGTGCAAAAAAAGGGGTGGCTGCCTGGATAAAAGTCAATACACATCTCTCTAACCAAAAACTTACCTTTCCTGCTGTGCCGCTTGTGGGAAAAGCTTCAGAATCTCAGCGTGGACCAAAGTCACTTGAGCAGTTTCCTTCACCTTCATTTCCAGAATGTAATCCTTGCCAAATTTGCTTTTTAAGTGTTGGATGGAGCCAATGCATCTATGAGCACGAGGAAAGACAGGTTGAAAAAAATATTGCCCCTCAATTTTTTTAATGCTAGACTTAGATTTCAGACGTAGGGCAAAGGGCACGTGGTACAAGATGAAAGGAAGAACTTGAGTGGCTTCCATGGGGCGCTTCTGCTGAGGGTCAAGAGGGTTCTGGCCAGGCACCCACCTCAGCCCTCCAGACACAATGATGGCAAGGCGGTCACACAGAGCCTCCGCCTCGGCCAGGTGGTGGGTAGTCAATATGGCTGCCTTTTCTGTCTTTTTAATGGTTCCCTGGATTGTCTGCCTGAAGCAAGTCAAAATATTAGCACCATTTAAAAAGGAAGAAGGGGGAAATTTCATAGATAAGATGTATTTATGAATCCTATTTATGATCCTAAGTTAAGAAAAAGGCCACACAGAAATGTAAATACTAAGTTTTAACTATATAAAAAGCAGTTAAACTTTATTTATTTAAAATATATTATTTATTTAGTTTTGCATAGAAAAGCTGCAGAGGGTAGATTAGAAGTGCAGAGTGAGAGGATTCCCCAGAGACAGCGTTGGGAGCAGAACAGGTGGATCCACTGAAATATACTGTCAAGGGGAGCAGTGGGGAGACAGGAGAGGTCTGCTGTGCAATGTCAGTCAGCTCCCTGGCTGGGGATCAAACTCATGCCACAGCTGTGATAACACTGACCCTCAACCCCTAAGCTGCCAGGGAGGCCCCCAAAATAGTTTTAAATAGTTTTCAGGTTGCTAACAGTATTCTGGTTAAGTTTTTTTTTTTTTTTTTTAATAGGGAGAGTCCTTATATTGTGGTGATACCATTGGACACATTTCTCAATCAAGGATATGCTGCCAAGTATTTGCTTCAAAATAATTGGGGAAAGGAAGTGGGTGGTGGTATAGATGTAAAAAGATTGGCTGTATGTGGATGAATACTGAAACAGTGAGGGTATAATGGGTTCCTAAGTGATTTTCTTTACCCTCGTAGAATATTTCCACGAAGTTATTTTCAAAAGTTGGGAAAGTCAATTGAACATGAAGAATGTTACTAATATAAATTGAATCCTTACATAGAAAAGTGAAAAAAATTTTAAAACCAAGAAATACTGGGTTAAAAAATCAACAGAAAGAAGGGGGAAGTGAAATGGGGAAATTATGTCAATATGTTAATAGTTTCTAAGGAAACAGTTATAGACATGTTAGTAATGAAAAAGCAAAATTAAAATACATACCAAATTGCAAGAGCTGTAACTCCAACAAAATATTCAGAAGTTTTTCCAAAAAATAGACAAATGACACAGGAATAGGATGCAACATTAAATACTTATTTTCCTAATAATATCTGCACTAAATTAAGAACTAGTGGATTTGATCGCCCATCAACTTCTGCATAAGTTTTAAACTCCTGGATCTGAAGGCTGTGAGGATTCTCACCACATCTGCTGTTGTCCCCGGGGATCCAAGCCTGTAGATATTTCATCCAGAAGCAGGATGGGCGAGTTTCCCAGGATGCTCAGCACAAAACACAACTGAAATGCAGAGAAACAGCTGGGTTTGCTGCACCACCACCTCAGCCTCAGGCAGCCCACCCGCCACACACACCTTTCTAGCAGCTCCCAGCGTCAGTCTCCGCGCGGGAACGTTCAGCTGGTCGTGCAGCTTGAAAGTATCGACCAGTCTGTTGGAAGATAAGGGGGATGGTGAAGTCAAGAGAGGAATTTTAGAAAATGTGCCCACATGGGAGCATACCTATATTGGAAGGAGTTTTATAACGACTATGCTCAAAACTCTCCAGTCATCAAAGAAGAAGGTAGTTTAATTTGGAAGATAAAAGTCTTTCAGAAAAATGAGGAATCTGAATTCAGAACTCTCATGAATGAGTATTGAGGATAGCTTTATCATTTTTAAAATTTAAATTAAAAAAATGTACATTACATCTTCCTTCATTTTTGTGCAATGTGTGGTTTCCCCGTGAAATCCCCACACCACTTCCCCGGGGCACCATTACCACAGTCCTGTGCTCTTCCCACTCCTGTCCTGGCCCTTCTCCCTCCTTCCCCCCACAGAATGTCTCTGATCTACAGTTGCCTGATGATTTTGATTTTACTTTATTGTACTTACTTCCCCCCACCCTGATTCCTTTAGTATTTCTCTATATTTCTCCTATAAGTGAGACCCTTCAATATTTTTCTTTTTCTTTCTGGCTTATTTTATTTTTAAAGATTCCTCTATCAGGGATGCAAGAAACAGGACTATGTTCTATGCCTGTCTCCCGTCCAACACCTTCTGGAAAGGTGAGGTCTTTACACCTTCCATCTCCATCAGTGATTTCACCACCAATGGTCCAGAATCCCTGTTGGCAACAATGCTTCGACGACCTCTCTGTACCGTGAAATGGCCAGGGCAGCGTCCCCTTTCCTCAGCCCTTTCACGGCAGCGAAAACCTGCAGATGCTCCCTGGCCGTGAGGTTGGGCCACAGCGCGTTCTCCTGAGGGCAGTAGGCCAGGGACTGGAGCTCACCGCCTCCCTGGGGGTCCCAGATGGAGCTCCATCCATTCAGTTCCACCTAAGCAAGTAACACAGTTTTGGAAACATGTAGCCTTTTCTTCAACCATGCAATTACTTAAGAAACATTTAGCTAATAAATGTATTTTTTTTAAATAAGTTGACACTGATTTTCGATGCTCTTCCTCACCAAGTATTGTTATCACACTGCACCCACCACCAAAATGCCCTCCATCCTTCACCCTCGTCCACAGTGCTCCCGCCACAGTGAGAAGTTTCTCCTGCTCCTCCATCCAGTCCCTCTCTGGCAGTCTCAGTTTGACATTTCTACATTTCTAGGATTTGTTGTTAGTTTGGCTTTATCACACGCTTTGTCCACATCTGAGTGAGACCATCCAGTATTTGTCTTTCTGATTCCCTCTTCTGATTCTGACTCTACTTAGCATAACCCCCTCCAGTTCCCAAATAAATACCTAAATTTTTGAGCATTAAAGAAATATTACAGAAATTATTGCATGTATTTATTACAAAAACCAGAGTATGATTACTAAAGTGTCGCCCTGCAAATATACAACCTATGTTTATCATGAAATTTCTATTTAGGGAAGGGAGCCCGTTTCTTTATTTTTCACTAACCTCTCCAGCTGTCGGCTTTGAGACTCCAGATATCATCCTAATAGATGAACTTTTACCGGCACCATTGGGTCCTAGCAATCCTAAGATTTCACCTGAAAAAGAATCACTTACTATAAATACTGGAGGTATCGATGAACATCAAACTGTTTCTTCAATAACCTTGAGATACATGTACCTCTCATTGCCATTGTGAAAAAATGTAACCTATGTCATCAAGACATGCTCTTTAATTCCTGTAATTATATAAAATACAAGAGAAAAGCTTTTGGGTTGGATGTCAACAAAGATTATTTCTTTCCAGATTACAGCAGTCTCCCCTTATCTGAACCTTCATTTTCAGCAGTTTCAGTTACCAGAAATCAACCATGGTCTGAAACTATTACATACAATGAAATACTTTCAAAGGAAATGAGTGTGCAGGATAGGGAAGTTACAGTCACATTATTTTTTATTGCAGTACATTTTTCTGTTCTATTTTATAATCAGTTGTTGCTATTGATTGGCTATGTCTAAGTTATAAATTATGCTGGACTTTAAACTTTGCCATAGGCATGTATATATAGGGAAAGTGTTATGTGTTTTATAGATAAATATACATACATATATACATATATACCCATCGGTAATGTCCACAGTTAGAGGCATCTACTGGGAGTCCTGGAACATCTCTCCCACAGATCAGGGAGAGAGTTCAAAGCGTGCCAAGATTGTTGCTGTAGCAGATAGCTGGTATGCTGCACACACACACAGACAGTTCTTAAACTTGAGAAGTCAGAGATATTTTCTGTACCCCAACTCCCACCTCCTGTGTCCAGGCCATCATCATCTTTCATCAGAAGAAATGTAAAAGCCTCTTATCTTGTCTGCCACTTATACTCATGACCAAACAATAGCCAGGCTGCAATTTTCACAAAATTTCAATGAAGTGGTGATGTATAATTACCCTGTTAATTATAGTTATGATAACTATTCCTGCTAATTACCCTCTGGCATCATGCACTAACATGCTATAAAATCCAAACTCTGCTGCATGTCCCAACTCTGCTGCTGAGCTGGCTTGCCTCCACCTGGCCTTGCCCCTTCCCTGCTCCCACCTGGCCTCGCCCCTTCCCTGCTTTGGTTCACATCCAGGCCTCCTTGTGCAGCCCCCCGACTCTTTGTGCTCACACAGTGGCCCCTCGGGTGCCATCCTAGATGTAAATGTTATTGCTCAAGAAGGGGCTGTCCTAACCCACACTGAACACAGCAGCAGATCACCTGTGCCCTGTCACATTCTGAATGCTCCATGAGAACTGACCTGTGGTGGTATCTGAGTTTTGTTGGTAAGTTTTTTTTTTTTTTTAAGATTTACTTATTGATGCATACAGAACTGGGGTACAGGCCAGAAGGGTGGGGGTGGGGTTGAGAGGATTCACCAGAGACAGAGTGGGAAGCAGAACAGGCAGATTGATGAAGTACACTGCTGAGGGGAGCAGCGGGTGGGTCAGGAGAGGTCTGCTGTGCCCTGTGGGTCACCTCTGGGGTGGGGGATTGAACTCACACTGAAGTGGCTGCAGCTTGCTTGCAGTGCTGAGTCCTAACCCATTATACCACCAGGGAGGGCTGATAAGTTATTTTTGTTTAGTGATCTCTGGTAGGATTAAAATCCATGAGCACAGGAACTTGCCTCTTTCTTTCAGAATTTTATTGCTAGAGCCTATATTTGTCCCCGGCACACTAAAAAATATATGTTGAATGAATGAATAAACGCTTCAGTGGGTACTGCTACACTATACAACAAACGTTTTCAGGGGTATTTTTAGAGATAACGGTGAAGAAAAAGTGATTCTTCCAAACCTTTTTTAACACAGAAGGAGATATTTCTTATTGCTATTTTCTTCTTTCTTTTTGAAAAGCAACTTCTCGTCTGGCCTGCATATTCTTTGTGTAGACAACTAGCAAGAATGACTGGTCTCTAGAAAAGAAGACAGTGTGATTTTCCTGTTAAACTTCAGCAACAATATGGTACTGTATTCTCCCTGCCAGGCCCTGTCCTGCCTATAGTAATCTCTGTCTTAGTAGTAATCTCTATTCCCTGTTTCAAGTGTGACATGCATGCATTGGAATTAATAACATCTCCTGCTTCTAAATGGTCTGAGGAAGCAGCTGAATTCCAGGGTCAGTTTGTTGCTTTGTCAGGACTCAAGTGACTAAGGTTATGGCAACATGGCAACATCTAAGTGGCACAAAAGAATAACTCTTAAAATATTAATTACTACTAAACATTTAATGACAAGATTCCCATGAATTCCTCAACTCAAGGAATGACTGGTTTTGAAGCTGGAACTGCTTATCAAAACCCATGTATTGCAAAAAAAAAAAAAAAAAAAAAAAAAAAAAAAAAA